TATTCTATGCTAATGCGCGATCGAGAGAGAGAGCTCACAAAATCTTTCCAAAACATACGACCTGTTTAGTTGTCGTCGTCTTCTTCCCTGTAGGTAAGGGACACCTTGTAGATAGAGTTCATATTACTTTCGTACGGGAGATCAATACGTGCACAAAATATAAAAGTATCACTTCTACGTGTAGACTCGGGACTTAGTCTATGGGACTCCGTTATGGGCGTTGGTCATCAGGAGGAAAACTGCGTGGAGTTTGACGCTTCGGATCTGTCGAAGAACTCCCCGAATTTGGACTAATTTCCCCTTATATCTCCTGAATTTCAACCAATCATCGGCCAGTAACTCTTTCGTGAGAACGGACGAAAGGGGGATGAATGAGGGGTAACCATTTCCCATCTGAGCGAGATTACTAACCCGATAAGGGAAAGTCAGAGGATGTTCTCTTCTGTGAAAGGAAGTAGCTTCTGTTATCTGGTTTTTCCCACGTCCAAAACACTAGGTTTTCACAAAAACTAAGTAATATTTTGTGTCGATATTTTACCATTATTAATAAAAATTCATAAATTAGACCCAGGGGCCTTTCGGGTCTCACACAGTCGTGAAAACTACAAATTGGAATTAACGCGTTTTAAATTGCCATTTTAGGAGTACAGTAGAGCATCGATTATCCGACTCCCGATCAATTGTCACATCGGTTAACTGACCGTGTTCTAGTCGGCAAATTCAAATGTCCACTAGTGATATGGCGCTACAATATTTGGCTAGTTTAATATTATTTTTGTTAAATTTTTGGTGTTTTAGTTGGCAAAACTGGCTCGACCATGAAAGGGATGCCAGTATTTAAACGAGGCTTAATTTTCTAATTGTGAGTGGTTGTTTGTTTTGTGAGCAATAAAATAATTTAAAAATAATTTTTTACGATACAATAGCGATGATTATTATTTTTAAAAAACTTTGTTAGGCTTAACATTGATGAAAATTCAACTTGAAGTAAGTTAATAGCACTATACTAATATACTAATTACATGGGATATACTAATATACTATACTAATAATGTATTTTTTCATACTTTTCGGTTATCTGTTTTTTCAGTTATCTGACCAACCTGAGTCCCCAATTGAGTCGGATAATCGATGATCTACTGTATTTACAATACTCCTAACATTAATAACTCCATAAAAGTTATTGATAGGTTGAAAATTATCTTATTTGAAAGTAATTTAATATTAAATATTATTCTTGATTAATAAAAATAAATTTATAAAAAAGTGATTGCAATAAAAGCTATTTAATCTTTTTTTTTTTAATATGAACACATCATCAATTTTAATAAATTCCTAAAGAATATCTCTTGTATTTCTTATGAATTTTAAAGAAAGATAATTCTTGAAAGTTATCTGATTTCTTTAAAAGATTTATACTTTTATCGATGATTTTAGATACCGACTCCACCTCAAATACAAGAAGATTATGTTATTGTCGAAAAATCTGAATGTGTTGCCATAGGAGAAGGGGAAGACAGTGAGGATTTGTATTCTAGATTAGAAACGGATCTTGTAAATCAAATAGAAGTAAGATTTATATTTATTTACATTTATAAACAAATATTACAATAATTTTAATATAAATTATATAATTTATTTTAGATTTGTCAGCGAAATAAAGACCATTTTTTGAAACTTGGAGATGTTTCTTCTGCTTCTAAGTAAGACAAAATTAAATATTATGTGAAATATTTTGAGTAACTTAATATTGTTAAGAAACATCAATAATTTTAGATTTATTTGCTCTTAGTTTGATTACATTTTTAATGATTACACTTAAAATAAATATTCAATGAAATTAATTTCTTTGTATAAAAAGAGATAAATGAAGACCTTGAAAATTTATATTTGTTATAAAACTGACATTTTTTTTAAAATCCACTTCTTGCTTTAGATCAGTGTTTCTCAACCTCTAACAAATCGTCACCCCTTCAATAAAACCGTTACGTATTATCGCCCCTTTCACTACAAAATTCCAATGCCGAGGGACAAGGCTAATGCCAAATTCGTACTGCATTGAATAGACTAGTGACTAGTAATGTTGTTTGTTTAATTATTGTACGATATAACGAATAAAATATCTCATTATTCTTAATATAATGTTTTACTATATCACCCAGAAAAAATGTTTTTCGCCTCCCACAATATAAATTGTTACTAATCGCCCACAGATATCACCCCTGTTGAGAAACACTGCTTTAGATCAAGGGTTTCCAACCTTTTTCAAGTATCAATCCCTTTCAAGAATTTTTTTCCATTACTCCCTTAAATAAATATATACTTTATTATTTTTTTTTATACATTGTTTTGTATTTGTAAAACTTTAAAAATGATAATAAATATTTTCAAGAATTTTTAAACGATTATAATTACTAGATCATTAAACAATGTTAAAATATTATATATGAATATAAAATATGTATTTAATTTGCTCATTGACCCCTTTCAAACTTTCATTGATTCCATAGGGAAACCCTGCTTTAGATGATCATTTATAAATTCTATAGGCATGTAAACTTCATATCTTATAACTATAATTACTGTTTCAAAGTAGTTATACTATATATCATTTGCATTTATTATAATTGACTTCTTTCAAATAATTTTGAATGTATTGAATGCAACATTTCTAATGACTGACTTTAACAGACAAAAGTAAATTATATAAAATTTTAAATTAATTAATTACTGTTATTAAATGAAGCATTTAAAGAAATCTAGTTTAATTTATTTGTATGAAACCCATATTAATTTCACATGAAACTTTAAATATGATTTATTACTTGTGATAAGAATTTCTCAATAAACATGTTTGAACTATACATTAAAAATTTTATTAACTTAATGCATTTCTTCAGATGAAACTTAACTAATTTTGGTAAAATAATTAAAAACACTGATAATTGAAACACATATTTAAACAAATAACATAAACGTTGTTTAGAGAAAGAAAGAAAACAGTCAAACAATTAAAAATGTGCTAAGTTGGAACTAAACCATCATTTAATCAGTCCAAAATGCTCTTTTCATAATGCTACAATAATTATCTAGTCTGTTTATAAGATAAAATTAATAATTTTATTAGTAAAGAATTTTAATCCTGTCAAATGTTATGCTGAGATGATTGATTTACAATTCAATTCTAATTTTAAAATAAATAAATAAGTTAATTAATTAATCCAATGGTTTTCTTGATTTATTTCTTCAATGAAAATCAGTTTGTAAATTAATTCAAAGGAAAACCAAGAAAAGTCTAAAGCAAACATGTAGTTTATGCTTTGTGTTGTTTGTTAATCAGTTAATATATGAATTAAAATCTTATTTAACAAATTTTAATTAATTAATAGTTGCAAATTATTAGTCTTGCTGATTTGTTTATATATACTTTTTCAAGAGAATTTCATTTGATTATTATAACATAATGTTGGTGTAACATATTTTACTGGAAAATTTACTAATGTAAAATTTAAAATATTAAACTTTAAAGTATTTACATATAAAATAATTATAAATTAAAATGATGTTTTGTAGCTTCTAACTTAAAATGTTTAAAAATAGATTTGAAAAATTGGCTCACGGGAGTCGAAAGGACTTGGACGTCGTTAAGCATCTTCGAAAGTTGGGAGAACCTCTGCCACGTTTTCATTATGAAACGCGCCTGTTTTCTATTGTGCAGTAAGTTTTTTGCCTTTTAAAATTTGTTACAAATATATAAATTTTTGAAATGTTTATTAAACAAACATTTAGATATAATTTCTTTCTATTGTTGTTTATTTTAGATGCAATACAGATTTAAGTGATACAGACTTTGAAATTTCTGTGGAGAGAGGAATTAATTTGCCAGGTAAATAGGTTTTTGAATTATTTAGTTGTTAATATTTTAGATTTGAAGCAAATTATCATTTAAACTATACATCTCGAATATAAAATTGTTTTTTTTTATTGTTGGTCAGATGGCTACACAGCAAGACACTGATCTGCTGTGGGAATTGAACTCAAATTTAATCCAGATTTTCATATTTTATAGTGGATTATTGAGGTCTGATGTCATTTCACTTGTACCAATTTATCTTGTGGATATATTGGTATAGACCAAATAGACCAAAATTACATAACAAAATACAGTTACTTTCTTAGTTTACTGCAGATATACCTAAAGAAGTTTTATTTTGGTAAAAACATTTTATATAATTTTCAAGTATATTCACCTATCAGTTACTTGTCTGGTACAATTAGTTAACAACTTTTATTTAAGTTTTGTAATGATACAAAACAAAATTGAATCAAATCATAATATTCCATAGCATATACAACTACATCTAGTTTTTATATTTTATGATTAAAACATTTTTGTTTTAATCATAAAATATAAAAACTAGATTTGTTGATTTGTAATGAAACAAATTTCGTTATATCAAATCTACATCAAGAAGCAATGATCATTAGTCATGAAATGTATATATAATCAAATCTTGGTATTGCAATTAATCAATACAATGATAAAGCCCTCCAAATACCTAGTATTTCCCTTTCTCTACAATGATGATAATGCAGTAAATTAAATTTTAATTTATTGCTTTGTTTTGGAGTCAAAATGTGGTACTCTCTTAATACAGCAATTAAACCAGAAATGTTACTTGCATTTATTGTCTATAATCAGTAGGTATCTGACAAGAACAGGTTGCTGGATTTAGCGTGATTTTGATATTTTAGTGCCTAAATTTTTTGTTTGCTAAAAATTAATAAGTTTAAGTGCTAAAGCTTTATGATTACATTTTACACTAAATGACAAAGGAAACCAATTTAACTTTTTCTAGAGCAGTTTAGTACTATTTTTGGGCTCTCGTCTATAATCATTTGAAATTTCATCTGGCAACTATAGAGAGTTATCTTCTACCATATAGGAGTATAATTTGGTGGGAAGTATGGCAGTGGCTGGTGCTCGTAAACAAAAACAAATTAGCTTAGTGCAAAAGTTGGCTGTCATTAATGACATTGCTGCAGGAATAAAGCAAATAGAAGTTGCCAAAAACATGGGATTTCACAGCCAATAGTGGCAAATATTTTGAAGAGAAGAAATATTTGATTCAAATTTCAACTTGTTGACAAAACAAATGAACATGGCAATCTATAATGACATGGGTGCCACTACTCCACACTAGTTTTCAGAACAGGACTCAAAATGTTCCAATAAATGACCCTTTGTTGTAAAGTGAAGCAAACTTTCTTGCTTCACTTTTCTCGGAATTCACAATTTCAAAGCAAGTAATGGATGGTTAGTGCACTTCAGAGATCACTGTGGAATTGCATTTAAATCAGTGTGAAGGTAGGTTGGCACTATTAAACAATTCTAACTTTTGATGCAAAAGTAATGCAAACCATTTTGAAAATACATGCTTGAGGATGTTTATAATGCAGATGAAATTGATGCATTCATTCAGCTACTTTCCAAAAAGACACTATGCTTCTCCTCTTCGGAAGCCAAAGTAGGGAAGAAATCAGATTGACAAATTAGAATCCTATGCCGCGTGTATCTTTCAGGAATGGCCAAATTCTAACTTGTATTTATTGGAAAAGACACAAAGCCTAGGTGTTTTCATAATGTTGGGTATAGTGTATAATTTTATTTATTTATTAGAATTAGTGTAGTTTTAATTAATTCATTTTGCCTCTCAAGATTTGGATTCCAATTGATTTTGTACTTAACATGTAATTATATGCAATGAAATTAATTATTGTACTAGATGTATTAGTGTTTTTTTATTCTAACATCACCTGATTTTGTAGAAATAACTCTATTTGTAGTCTGGCAATGTTAAATGAGGAAGGGGATACTTTTTTAAAAACTCAATGTACAACATTTGTTTTCTTGACACACTAAATATTGTTATATGGGGACTTCATTATAATTGCTAGTCTTCTACAGTTCTAAGAATATTAATTATCCTTTGCAAACTGAGTTTGACACAATAATATCAGTTATGACATGTGTATATCATACATTGTCATATCAAATTATTACTTAAATTTGTTTATAATAAGCTTTCAAAGATTACTCTAAAACTTAATGGAAACAAATACTTNATCATATCATACATTTTTGAGGGGAATAACATTTTGGTGTGCTGTGTTGAGTCATGGGTGTACCACAAGTAGAAAAAGGTTGTGGAACACTGATCTATGCAACTTTTATTGACTGCTGTAGTTGTGATATAACTACATCATTCAATAATATAATCAAAATATGTCAGTATGTTTGTATATTTTATGTAGTATTTTATGAGTAAATACATTATTACATGAAATATAAATGATTATCTTTTATCCATTGACGATTATTGTAAAATTGTTCAAATGATCATTATTCTAACTCGTCCTTATAATTATCATGTAGAAATCTTTGTTGTTGTGGAAAATTTAGAGTAATTTTTAAGTAATTCTATTAAATAATATGAAAAACATTTGTTTTTCATACTTTTTTACTTTTATAAAATTTTAATAATTTTTAAGATAATTAATGATAAAACTATCGGCTGATGAAAAGTTAGCATGATGTAGGCTTGGCAATGCTGTAATCATGCACTGCTGATTCATTTAGTTAGTTTTAAATGGTATTTCTTGGATTCATAGTAAACAAATATTCACAATTTAAGTGTTTTTTATGACATAGCAAGCATTATTCACAGCTGGTTCACAGCATCACCAAGTCTAACTCTCACAACCAGACTTTTTAATTTGGTTGGCTGGTAAGTATTTTTATAAACAAATTTATATTTTTTCACTTTAAACAAAGTATAATCTACTTCAAAACTTTACAAACCAAATAATTTGAATAATCAAAATATTGTGAAAATCATTGATTCAATAAAATTTATTATTCATTAAATATCTTTGTCATATTTTAGTTTAATTTTAATGAGAATTCTAATTATAAACATTTTTATTGAAATATTTTAGGGTATAGAACCAATGATAGAAGCGACACGAAACGGCTTACCGATCGATGCTACGTCCGTAAGTTTTATTGATTGAAATTATTGTTTATTAATTGATATGAAAATCTTAATAGTAGAGGAATTTTGATATAAAATAATTCAGTTCTTAACAGATTTATACCATGTGTATCAATTAAACACCAATGAGATCAATGAAATGAGACCATAAATTAAATTCTTTCTCATATTTGACAAGCAATACAATTGAAAAAATACAACAATTAAAGATAATTTAAATTACTGTTTGTTCTTTTTAATCCGAGAATGTCACATTTATTGTTATCAATGTTTAAAAAATTCTAATTCATGACTCTTGTCTGTTGGTTGTAAGTCATGATTTAGGCATGGATTACACTTTGAGAATGTACATAACTTGCCTTAATTTGTGCAAATCTTTATTTTATAGATATATGTCAAAATTTAGAAAGGTATGCAATAGTCACCAGTGTAACAATATTTGGTTCATTTTAAGCAGATAAAATTAATTAATAAGAAGTAATTATTTTCATAAAAACTTCAATTATTAAGTTACCCACACACAAAATAAAAACAAGTCATTCATGTATTAAACAACTTGTGTTATTCATTACAGTTTGATTTGCTCAGATTTCTTCAGTTGAAAGTCAGTTTTAGTGTATGTTATAAGAGTTGCATAATAATAATAATTATGAAAGTACATTACTGCAAATTTGTGCAAAATAAGATAGATGTTGATCCATTATAATTGAAAAAATAAACAAACTGCTAATTTAGGGAAAGCAAAACATTAAATAAGAAACATTTTTGGCATCTTAACTTGCAAACGTATTGAAAATGAAATTGTTTTGATCAAGAAATTGCCATTTAAACAATTAATTAAATGTCTTTTAGGATGTTTATTTTCTTAAAGATGACATTTTTGTACAGATAACCAAGAATTGATAATTCAAGCCACACTAGGTTATTTCTTATCATTGAAGTTACGTAGAAACCAAATTTACAAATCAAGAATGTCTTAAATCTACTTGAAGACAATGTAAATTTTAAAATTAAGATAATTGGCTTAAATATGTTCTATAAAAATTAATATATTGACAATTTGTAATGATGTAAAATATTTGTTAGATGAATTAATGGATTTGATTTCATGACATTATTTCTTTTTGTGATTCAGAATTTTTAAACAAAAGAATTAAACATTAATGAGAATTCTCTGAATGACTGAAAAAAATGTTCTGATCCCTAAACAGAACTGTTTGATTCTTAAATTGTAACAGAAACATATTTAAACATAGCTAAAGTAGTAATGAAAGCGAGTAATAGTTCAACTTATAAAATTTGTAGTAAGGATTTTCACTTATTGCAGCACTGTCTTTGTGCCAGTTGTGAGATTAGCCGGGGGTACAACTCCGCTAAGGATCGTTAGTACCACTTAATCGGCACTATTCCGCGAGAATAGTTCTCCGAGTTTCGGATCTCTAGATCCGATCATAAAAGTTTATATAGGAGAGCGTAAATAAAAAATGATCTGAACGGCGAAGTTCCGATTCCTGTCAGGTTCCCGACACCAGTTAATCAATCTTATTATACGCGGATTAACACGCGTATGAGATCGGATTCGGAATCAATTGAAGAGACATTAGGTATATTTAACAAAAGTAAATTTAATGATTCTAAAACAAAATGAATACAAATAATCAATAACAACAATTAAGCGACAAGATAGAGGCTACGACTTATTCTATGCTAATGTGCGATCGAGAGAGAGAGCTCACAAGATCTTTCCAAAACATACGACCTGTTTAGTTGTCGTCTTCTTCCCTGTAGGTAAGGGACACCTTGTAGATAGAGTTCATATTACTTTCGTACGGGAGATCAATACGTGCACAAAATATAAAGGTATCACTTCTACGTGTAGACTCGGGACTTAGTCTATGGGACTCCGTTATGGGCGTTGGTCATCAGGAGGAAAACTGCGTGGAGTTTGATGCTTCGGATCTGTCGAAGAACTCCCCGAATTTGGACTAATTTCCCCTTATATCTCCTGAATTTCAACCAATCATCGGCCAGTAACTCTTTCGTGAGAACGGACGAAAGGGGGATGAATGAGGGGTAACCATTTCCCATCTGAGCGAGATTACTAACCCGATAAGGGAAAGTCAGAGGATGTTCTCTTCTGTGAAAGGAAGTAGCTTCTGTTATCTGGTTTTTCCCACGTCCAAAACACTAGGTTTTCACAAAAACTAAGTAATATTTTGTGTCGATATTTTACCATTATTAATAAAAATTCATAAATTAGACCCAGGGGCCTTTCGGGTCTCACACAGTCGTGAAAACTACAAATTGGAATTAACGCGTTTTAAATTGCCATTTTAGGAGTACAGTAGAGCATCGATTATCCGACTCCCGATCAATTGTCACATCGGTTAACTGACCGTGTTCTAGTCGGCAAATTCAAATGTCCACTAGTGATATGGCGCTACAATATTTGGCTAGTTTAATATTATTTTTGTTAAATTTTTGGTGTTTTAGTTGGCAAAACTGGCTCGACCATGAAAGGGATGCCAGTATTTAAACGAGGCTTAATTTTCTAATTGTGAGTGGTTGTTTGTTTTGTGAGCAATAAAATAATTTAAAAATAATTTTTTACGATACAATAGCGATGATTATTATTTTTAAAAAACTTTGTTAGGCTTAACATTGATGAAAATTCAACTTGAAGTAAGTTAATAGCACTATACTAATATACTAATTACATGGGATATACTAATATACTATACTAATAATGTATTTTTTCATACTTTTCGGTTATCTGTTTTTTCAGTTATCTGACCAACCTGAGTCCCCAATTGAGTCGGATAATCGATGATCTACTGTATTTACAATACTCCTAACATTAATAACTCCATAAAAGTTATTGATAGGTTGAAAATTATCTTCTTTGAAAGTAATTTAATATTAAATATTATTCTTGATTAATAAAAATAAATTTATAAAAATGTGATTGCAATAAAAGCTATTTAATCTTTTTTTTTTTAATATGAACACATCATCAATTTTAATAAATTCCTAAAGAATATCTCTTGTATTTCTTATGAATTTTAAAGAAAGATAATTCTTGAAAGTTATCTGATTTCTTTAAAAGATTTATACTTTTATCGATGATTTTAGATACCGACTCCACCTCAAATACAAGAAGATTATGTTATTGTCGAAAAATCTGAATGTGTTGCCATAGGAGAAGGGGAAGACAGTGAGGATTTGTATTCTAGATTAGAAACGGATCTTGTAAATCAAATAGAAGTAAGATTTATATTTATTTACATTTATAAACAAATATTACAATAATTTTAATATAAATTATATAATTTATTTTAGATTTGTCAGCGAAATAAAGACCATTTTTTGAAACTTGGAGATGTTTCTTCTGCTTCTAAGTAAGACAAAATTAAATATTATGTGAAATATTTTGAGTAACTTAATATTGTTAAGAAACATCAATAATTTTAGATTTATTTGCTCTTAGTTTGATTACATTTTTAATGATTACACTTAAAATAAATATTCAATGAAATTAATTTCTTTGTATAAAAAGAGATAAATGAAGACCTTGAAAATTTATATTTGTTATAAAACTGACATTTTTTTTAAAATCCACTTCTTGCTTTAGATCAGTGTTTCTCAACCTCTAACAAATCGTCACCCCTTCAATAAAACCGTTACGTATTATCGCCCCTTTCACTACAAAATTCCAATGCCGAGGGACAAGGCTAATGCCAAATTCGTACTGCATTGAATAGACTAGTGACTAGTAATGTTGTTTGTTTAATTATTGTACGATATAACGAATAAAATATCTCATTATTCTTAATATAATGTTTTACTATATCACCCAGAAAAAATGTTTTTCGCCTCCCACAATATAAATTGTTACTAATCGCCCACAGATATCACCCCTGTTGAGAAACACTGCTTTAGATCAAGGGTTTCCAACCTTTTTCAAGTATCAATCCCTTTCAAGAATTTTTTTCCATTACTCCCTTAAATAAATATATACTTTATTATTTTTTTTTATACATTGTTTTGTATTTGTAAAACTTTAAAAATGATAATAAATATTTTCAAGAATTTTTAAACGATTATAATTACTAGATCATTAAACAATGTTAAAATATTATATATGAATATAAAATATGTATTTAATTTGCTCATTGACCCCTTTCAAACTTTCATTGATTCCATAGGGAAACCCTGCTTTAGATGATCATTTATAAATTCTATAGGCATGTAAACTTCATATCTTATAACTATAATTACTGTTTCAAAGTAGTTATACTATATATCATTTGCATTTATTATAATTGACTTCTTTCAAATAATTTTGAATGTATTGAATGCAACATTTCTAATGACTGACTTTAACAGACAAAAGTAAATTATATAAAATTTTAAATTAATTAATTACTGTTATTAAATGAAGCATTTAAAGAAATCTAGTTTAATTTATTTGTATGAAACCCATATTAATTTCACATGAAACTTTAAATATGATTTATTACTTGTGATAAGAATTTCTCAATAAACATGTTTGAACTATACATTAAAAATTTTATTAACTTAATGCATTTCTTCAGATGAAACTTAACTAATTTTGGTAAAATAATTAAAAACACTGATAATTGAAACACATATTTAAACAAATAACATAAACGTTGTTTAGAGAAAGAAAGAAAACAGTCAAACAATTAAAAATGTGCTAAGTTGGAACTAAACCATCATTTAATCAGTCCAAAATGCTCTTTTCATAATGCTACAATAATTATCTAGTCTGTTTATAAGATAAAATTAATAATTTTATTAGTAAAGAATTTTAATCCTGTCAAATGTTATGCTGAGATGATTGATTTACAATTCAATTCTAATTTTAAAATAAATAAATAAGTTAATTAATTAATCCAATGGTTTTCTTGATTTATTTCTTCAATGAAAATCAGTTTGTAAATTAATTCAAAGGAAAACCAAGAAAAGTCTAAAGCAAACATGTAGTTTATGCTTTGTGTTGTTTGTTAATCAGTTAATATATGAATTAAAATCTTATTTAACAAATTTTAATTAATTAATAGTTGCAAATTATTAGTCTTGCTGATTTGTTTATATATACTTTTTCAAGAGAATTTCATTTGATTATTATAACATAATGTTGGTGTAACATATTTTACTGGAAAATTTACTAATGTAAAATTTAAAATATTAAACTTTAAAGTATTTACATATAAAATAATTATAAATTAAAATGATGTTTTGTAGCTTCTAACTTAAAATGTTTAAAAATAGATTTGAAAAATTGGCTCACGGGAGTCGAAAGGACTTGGACGTCGTTAAGCATCTTCGAAAGTTGGGAGAACCTCTGCCACGTTTTCATTATGAAACGCGCCTGTTTTCTATTGTGCAGTAAGTTTTTTGCCTTTTAAAATTTGTTACAAATATATAAATTTTTGAAATGTTTATTAAACAAACATTTAGATATAATTTCTTTCTATTGTTGTTTATTTTAGATGCAATACAGATTTAAGTGATACAGACTTTGAAATTTCTGTGGAGAGAGGAATTAATTTGCCAGGTAAATAGGTTTTTGAATTATTTAGTTGTTAATATTTTAGATTTGAAGCAAATTATCATTTAAACTATACATCTCGAATATAAAATTGTTTTTTTTTATTGTTGGTCAGATGGCTACACAGCAAGACACTGATCTGCTGTGGGAATTGAACTCAAATTTAATCCAGATTTTCATATTTTATAGTGGATTATTGAGGTCTGATGTCATTTCACTTGTACCAATTTATCTTGTGGATATATTGGTATAGACCAAATAGACCAAAATTACATAACAAAATACAGTTACTTTCTTAGTTTACTGCAGATATACCTAAAGAAGTTTTATTTTGGTAAAAACATTTTATATAATTTTCAAGTATATTCACCTATCAGTTACTTGTCTGGTACAATTAGTTAACAACTTTTATTTAAGTTTTGTAATGATACAAAACAAAATTGAATCAAATCATAATATTCCATAGCATATACAACTACATCTAGTTTTTATATTTTATGATTAAAACATTTTTGTTTTAATCATAAAATATAAAAACTAGATTTGTTGATTTGTAATGAAACAAATTTCGTTATATCAAATCTACATCAAGAAGCAATGATCATTAGTCATGAAATGTATATATAATCAAATCTTGGTATTGCAATTAATCAATACAATGATAAAGCCCTCCAAATACCTAGTATTTCCCTTTCTCTACAATGATGATAATGCAGTAAATTAAATTTTAATTTATTGCTTTGTTTTGGAGTCAAAATGTGGTACTCTCTTAATACAGCAATTAAACCAGAAATGTTACTTGCATTTATTGTCTATAATCAGTAGGTATCTGACAAGAACAGGTTGCTGGATTTAGCGTGATTTTGATATTTTAGTGCCTAAATTTTTTGTTTGCTAAAAATTAATAAGTTTAAGTGCTAAAGCTTTATGATTACATTTTACACTAAATGACAAAGGAAACCAATTTAACTTTTTCTAGAGCAGTTTAGTACTATTTTTGGGCTCTCGTCTATAATCATTTGAAATTTCATCTGGCAACTATAGAGAGTTATCTTCTACCATATAGGAGTATAATTTGGTGGGAAGTATGGCAGTGGCTGGTGCTCGTAAACAAAAACAAATTAGCTTAGTGCAAAAGTTGGCTGTCATTAATGACATTGCTGCAGGAATAAAGCAAATAGAAGTTGCCAAAAACATGGGATTTCACAGCCAATAGTGGCAAATATTTTGAAGAGAAGAAATATTTGATTCAAATTTCAACTTGTTGACAAAACAAATGAACATGGCAATCTATAATGACATGGGTGCCACTACTCCACACTAGTTTTCAGAACAGGACTCAAAATGTTCCAATAAATGACCCTTTGTTGTAAAGTGAAGCAAACTTTCTTGCTTCACTTTTCTCGGAATTCACAATTTCAAAGCAAGTAATGGATGGTTAGTGCACTTCAGAGATCACTGTGGAATTGCATTTAAATCAGTGTGAAGGTAGGTTGGCACTATTAAACAATTCTAACTTTTGATGCAAAAGTAATGCAAACCATTTTGAAAATACATGCTTGAGGATGTTTATAATGCAGATGAAATTGATGCATTCATTCAGCTACTTTCCAAAAAGACACTATGCTTCTCCTCTTCGGAAGCCAAAGTAGGGAAGAAATCAGATTGACAAATTAGAATCCTATGCCGCGTGTATCTTTCAGGAATGGCCAAATTCTAACTTGTATTTATTGGAAAAGACACAAAGCCTAGGTGTTTTCATAATGTTGGGTATAGTGTATAATTTTATTTATTTATTAGAATTAGTGTAGTTTTAATTAATTCATTTTGCCTCTCAAGATTTGGATTCCAATTGATTTTGTACTTAACATGTAATTATATGCAATGAAATTAATTATTGTACTAGATGTATTAGTGTTTTTTTATTCTAACATNACCAAACATGCCAAAAAAAACATAAAAATACACAAGCATAATACAGGAGATTCTTTCACAGCAAGAGTGAGAAACAACTTCATGCACAACAGATGGCGTTTAAGCAGTGGCACATTTTTTCACTGTGTGTGCAGTTAGAATGTAGAAGCATTGTTCAAACTCCAGATGAATCTCTCTAGAGTTTAGCATTTGAAGTACAAGATACCAATGTATTGCACTTCTAAATAACATTTAATAACTAGCAAATGAGCCGTGTATATCATACATTGTCATATCAAATTATTACTTAAATTTGTTTATAATAAGCTTTCAAAGATTACTCTAAAACTTAATGGAAACAAATACTTTTGGTTAGTTGTGTAATCAACGTTTAATTTAATTTAATTTTATTTTATTCGGTTATTTATGTTCATAAACATGACAATTGCTGCCTACATAACCTTGAAAATATTTGGTTCTTTTGAAAATTTTTAAAAGGTGTACTTTGTTTAATTATGGTTAATTAAATTTTAATCCTCAATAGGATGTGGATAAATAACAATCTCTTAAAGATATTTTGTGATTTAAGGTTTGCATCATAATTTTCTTATTTAAATTTTCTCAGTATTGCTTTTTAATGGGATGTTTTGTGAATATAAACTGCAGAAAAGTTTTATTAAAACTTCTACTGATGTTATCGGTCTTATTGACTCACGCTGTAGAATGCTGATTATCCAAGATAAACTTGTAAATGAATATTGTACACTACTTTTATAAATTACAGTATAAGAAGATTTAAAACAACAACACTTATTACAAAATGATTTGTTTCTGTTACTTTTATTATTTAACTTCAATGTTGAGACAAATCGTTGTATTAAGTTGTAACCGTAATAATACACATTTTTATTCTTTAATATTGTACATGTATTAACTGTATAATAATTGTAAAATATTGTTCTTATATATGATTAAATTCACTAAAGTGTAAAAACAGGCATAAAATTAAAAACACAAGATTTATATGTTATATTACTTTAAAACAATTGCAATCATTTTGGATTGTGTTTTCTGCCTTTTTTGGATAATTAAGGTTCCGCTATATACCTTATTGACCAATATTTGAATTTGTGTGATGTAATTTATTATAATGCATGCATTATGCATATTTTTATGTTGATTTGCTTCGGCTTTTCCTCTTGCATACAAAAAATGATAGCAGGTTGCAGCAAACTCTTTGCAATTTCTATGACTTTGTTTGTTTGCTACGACTTTCCTATGTACACTTCACGACAACATTTATTGTTTTCCTTTATTTATGCATGTCACTGAGTATAAATTATCACTGTTAAGCATATCTTTTCAAACTTTTGTTTAAATTTACCATTCTTGATTTCATATTTCTTTAAGGGTACTTCCTTGGCCATTTATGTAAAAATATTATATTAGTTTCTTAAAGATGAATATTAGAAATAATTGTATTCCAGAGGAAAAGAGGAAGCATGCAAGCGACTGCTCTATTTTATTTTGTATAGGAAAGCCGACCGAACTGGATTCTTTCGTCAAGGTCGAGTTTCCATTCCCGACCGTGAGTATGCAAAAATCTTTAGTTAAAGAAACGGATCGACAGAAAGAATGATAATTAATTCTCCTTCCGCCTACAGGACAATCCTCAAAAGGCTAAGACGCATACTGTGAAAGATACCAATAATCCTGGTGAGCATTAATCATTATTTTTATATTGTAAGATGTTATATTTGCTAGATTCAAAATTTAATTGATATGAAAAATTAATATTTGATTTTTGATCAAACAACTGAATTTATTATGAAATAAATCAGAAAATTCTTTTTTATTGTATCATGAATTTTGAATTCTTAATATACCACTGGATAACCAAACAGTTTATTTGAAAAGTATAAACTTGACAAAGCCATGAGCTGGTAGTGTTTATTAATACCTTTCTGTGTGTTGCAAGAAACATTTAAATCTTAAATGCTTATTTACTATGAACTTGTGGGATAATATTTGAAACTCTAAGTAAAAATACTCACCTTCATTAAAGGAACTGTGTTGCCAAATCTACTACTCACAAATAAGTTTGTGATTTGATCATTTATTTAATTAATTTATATCTTTTATAGGCAAATTTCTAGAAAGTAATTATCAAATTCTTTGGACTAACTACACAAGCAATATTTATTTATTTACATTATACATAAGTAAAATTGTATAGTTGTTACAACATTTGATTAACAAATAACATACTACCCTATAGAAATCACAATACATAGATTTAATTACAGTTTTCTTCTGTATTGATCTGTCTCAGGTTTTTAAATCAGTATAGCATTAATTTAGTTTATAAAAATAAAAATCTAAACTTGTTTAATGGAAATTCTAATCAACTAAATTCATCTGAGTGCTATCCAAGTGTAACTGTAAGTTGGGAGCTATCTGTATTAATGTAGTTCTGATATGGGACTAAAAATCTGCATGTGCAAATTGGTCATAAGTCGAACACAGCAGTAGTGGAACTTTCCGATGCCACATAACCTTAAGTATTGTAATACAGTGGTGCTTTGAATGGCCTCCCAGAATGAATTAAATCTGAAGTACAAAGTCCAAATCAATTTTCCCATTACAAATGATGAAAGTGAATTAATCTGTTCCGAAACCATAAACAATACCCATTTTGATGAACTTAAACATCAAATACACAGTTAAATGCCCTAAATAATACATTAAAACATGACCCAAAAAAAAAAAAAAAGACATAAATACTCTATAATAAAATGAAAATTGCATTTACTGATCTTGCACCATCAATTTTGGCATCATAAACATGGCTGCCGATTGTACATGGGTGTATTGCTTTTGTGCTTTGCTGTAAGTTTCTTTTTCAACTCGATTGGTGATAGTATATTCTTCCACTTAAGCTTTGTTGTTTATACTTATTATTAACCTTGGCATCCAAGAAAACACTTATACATATATAACCAAACATGCCAAAAAAAACATAAAAATACACAAGCATAATACAGGAGATTCTTTCACAGCAAGAGTGAGAAACAACTTCATGCACAACAGATGGCGTTTAAGCAGTGGCACATTTTTTCACTGTGTGTGCAGTTAGAATGTAGAAGCATTGTTCAAACTCCAGATGAATCTCTCTAGAGTTTAGCATTTGAAGTACAAGATACCAATGTATTGCACTTCTAAATAACATTTAATAACTAGCAAATGAGCCTGACGTTGCTCGGGTAAACGATTTGGTAAATATTGTGCATTTGGAAATTAAGTTATTACTATCAAAAACAAAAAATCAGACATTTAAGATGATTGGCTTCTATTGTACTATTTTAGATGACCCATCTTCAGGTTAAGCCTTATTCCTTTCCTTCTCCCCCTGCGGGGAAATTTCCAAAAATCCCTTCTTAATGTGCATTTTCATGATGTACCCTAACTGTGTACCAAATTTCACCTCTAGGTTCAGTGTTTTGCTCTGGGCAATGAAGAATCAGTCAGTCAGGACATGTAATTTTAAATATATAGATTTGAGGATACAATAGAGACCAGTTGCATATTAAGATAATTTATTGATCATCATTGCCTTAAAATTGAGGCTGAACCCAACTTGTAAAGGTTTAAATACTGCATTTAACGGCTTTATTTTGCCAGTTTCTACTTATGGAAACCAGGTACATTTTTTGCCATGAGAGTTATCAAATCAGGAATTTCATTACTATGACAATGTAACGGGGGACCTACGTGCACTCTAATGAGACTAGACTACGAAGAAATATGCCCAACTAGAATGTTGCAAAACGTGTCGATCGAGAATCTTATGAGTGTCACCCAAAAAAGTTAGTGTCCCAAAATTGGTTTATCACTTCCCATCTTGACAAAAATCACACGAAAGATTCAATATGTGGATGCCACTTAGTGATAAACTTTGAAAATTTCTTGACAAGATATGCATTGCAAAATTTAAATTTTGCAATGAATATCTTTGTGGAACTGTCTGCATTAGTATATAATTAAGTATAAATTTTTAATGACTGTCTAACATAATTTGTATAAATTTCTAGAATATAAAGAAACATTCAAATTTAAAATCGATAGGAAATCGAGGTCTTTGGCAAGAATTTTTAAAAGACAACCTGTCAAAATAGAAGTGTGGTCAAGAGGGTGAGTCTCTAACATTTTAAAATTCATTAAAAATTAATTATAAGCTTAGTTACATTAATGTTCTTAAAGCAATTTAAAAAAACATTAATTTAATAGACAAATAGGTACACATTGTCATTATATGGAAGTATATTGGTGACAATGTTTTTTCTTCTAAAGTATATCATCTCCATTACCAACTGGTAAATGTGTCCAAAGTAGGTTTAAGACTTTTTGAAAGTTATTTTCTAACTTTAGAAAAGAGTATTAAACCAGATTTTATGACGGAGTCAAAAAGTATTTCTATTGCCATATTATTGGAAGTGCCACAAAAAAGTATCTGAAACCACAAGATCTTAAGACGTGTCATTTACACGTAAGCTAAATGTTTTCATTCCTAAAAATCAAATCAGTCCAAAATTTGTATGTCAAATACCTAACATAGTTCATAACCCATCAAATATGATATAAATTAAATTTTTATTCATTTTAGTCCAAATTTTGTAAATATAAAAATGTTAGCAACTGGAATTAATTTTAATTTAAAGCCTTTTTAATAACTTACACAAAAAACCTTGTTGAAATTTCTACCTAAATTATTACATTACTACTCATTAATTAAATTTTTGTTTTTTTAAACAAAATCTAAACTAACCAAAAACAAAAATTCGTGATATTTACTAAGAAGCCATTTAATAAAGTGTTTGCTTGCAGTTGGTTCTGCAAATGTCAATCTGGTTGTAAAAATGTGCAGCAATGGGAACAGATTGTTTGACAAATATTTGAGAGCCCCTTTTTGGTAATGTGGCAATCTTGTCAAATTGTTTCACATATCTTGCCCGGGCTCCTAAAGTTACAAAAAAAAAGTTTGTAAATACAGTAGAGAATCGATTATTCGACCCCCGGTTAAACCGACCGTTCTAGTTGGCAAATTTCAAATGTCAGTTAGTAATGTGGCGCTACAATATTTGGCAATGTCTTGGCTACTTTAATATTATTTTTGTTAAATTTTTGCGTGTTTTAGCTGGCATCAATGGCTCGACCATTGAAGGGAAGCCAGTATTTAAACAAGACTTAATTTTCTAAATATGAATGGTTTTTTGTTTTGTGAGCAATAAAATAGTTTAAAAATAATTTTTAATGATACAATAGCGACGATTATCATTTAAAAAAAAAATTTGTTAGGCTTAACATCGATGAAAATTCAAGGTGAAGTTGGTTAATAGCGATATAGTAATAATGTATTTTTTCCATTCTTTTCGGTTATCCGACCAACTTGAGTCCCCAATTGAGTCGGATAATCGATGCTCTACTGTATTCCAATATTCCATCACCTTTCCTGGATATTAATTAATGAAACAGATTTAATTTTATAAATAGTAAATTCATTAAAATAGATCTTGTATTATATTTTCATAAAATTAAAATCAATCTGTCTATAATAAATTTTATCATTGCAGGGGATTTTTCAGGAGTGATGTACTCTTGGGAACATTAAGTATAAAACTGGCTGACCTAGAAAAAAAATGTACCATTCATGATAGTTTTGAGGTAAGAAATGACTTGTATATGAGCTTGTTTTGCAAAATATACTTTAAACCAAATGGAAGCAACATATATACAGATATTTAAAATTTTAAATAATTTATTTTATCTACTGTATTGGATCTGTCCATTTTTCTGTTGCTTTTTATAATAAGTTGATCTTTCTCCTCTGCCCCTATTTCAATCAAATTGATGATGATAATAATGAACTTTAATAAACCATTATTATTATTGTGAATGATTTTTTTTATATTCATGTATTTTCAAGTTAACATCTTGCCAAAAAAACTTGCAACGACAATCTGATAAATACTTTTATGGTGAAAATCATATTGAAATGCTACTTTTCACTAATCACAGTTAGGCATTTTTGAGTAAGTTGGCCTGTTACAAAAGTTTAGTTTGATAATTTTAAAATTGAATTGCTTATGTAACTAATACTTTCCAAAAAGTAGCCAATAATCAGCATTGTCTGATGATAATTTGGCTTTTTACTACTATGCTAATCAGAATTTGTTTGGACATTTGATGTGCTAAACAGCCTGAGCAAAGGTGTGTCCCGTACATATCACTACATTTCCGGAGATCACTGTGGACTGGAGAAAAATGCCTTGTTTCGTTATGGCACCTTCTTTGCGTTTAATCAGATGCTTTCACTGGTATAAAATGTCTGGTGATCTCTTAATCTGACATCTATTAGAGATCCAATTTTCTACTGGATCAATGGATATGTATGGTGCAACACCCTCTAGGATTATCTCATACTGTTTAACTAAACAGTTAGAAAAATTGTGCGCAAATTAAGTACAGTCGACCCCTCCATAACACTGTTGATAATTCAATGTTGTATGAGTCACTTAGATTTTACAAATATGTGAGCCATTCAGAGCCTGGCACACGTATTTGTAAAATCTAAGTGACTCGTACAACATTGAATTCATATAAAACAGAATTATCAACAGTGTTATAGGGGGTTAACTGTACTGTATGTAGTGTAATTAATCGATCACTTGGCATTTTTCATCTCTATTTTTTATTCAGTTGATACACATTTCGGGCTCAATAATGTCCTCTTCAGTCAACTAAAAAAGGTATAAAAATACACACAAATCACAAAAAAGGCAATATACATATATAAACTGTATAGATATTGTACAAAGCATACCTCGAGATCACAATCACTTGAAACAATCTAATTGTTTCAAGTGATTGCAATCTCGAGGTACAAAAAATGTGTAACAACTGAAAAAAATGCCAAGTGATTGATTAATTAATTACACTACATAGTGCTTGAATAATGAAAAATAATAATGACACAGTTTCAGATTAACTACTATTGAGATTATCTGATGCTGCCATTACTCTGCTTTCATTTTCAGAATATTGCCTTTAGTGATGAGAAAACATTCAAATAATGACCAATCTACTTTGGCTATTATTACTACATAGCCTGATAATCTCTTGATAAATTACAGAATTTTTATGTCTTTAACTGTTCTCCATCTCTAGCCAATTTATTATTAAAAATAAATTAGTTTAGAATACTCTGGAAGAAGAGAATTGGCCCAGAGTGAGACTTACCTGCAACTCCCAGTTGCGCTACTGGGCCCCATCCAATTGTAGCTTCCAGAGCTATTAATTAATTAGATATAACCATACTGGTTATGATTTAGCACCCACAATATTTCCTGGCACTTTGCCAACTTACATACACCATGCCAGGGTAAAGTGTATTCAATATATAACAGTAACGACCAAAAAGATACATTAGATTTTTCCATATCATCTGCCCAGTTTTTATCAGGCTAAATTAAACATGAGGGTATTGATTACTTATATTTAATTTGTTCTGATAAAAACTTGACAGATTATACGGAAAAATCTAATGTATTTTTGGTTGTTATTTATTTACATACACCATGCCGAGGTAAAGTGTTGGTTGATCAACTGTTGTGGAGAGCCCCAGTTGCTAAAGTCATAATTGATATGGTTATACCTAACTTAATAGTTCCAGAAGTGAAGATCAGATGGGGTCCGAACAGCATTACTGGCATTGCGACTGCATGGCAAATGGAAGTTGCCAGTTTGTGTCCAGCTCCAGGCTAATACCAAATTAATAGAAATAAATTATCATGAGATGGTAGGTGATTGTTTCTAATTATTACATAACCACAATTTGACTGATTGTTTGGGGGAAATTTATTTTGATGATTCCGAGAGGCCATGTCAATGAAAAAAAATCCATGGAGACATTCACAGTTTTCTTGAGGATTCGGTTAAGATTCTAGGTACTTTTACATCAGAAGGAAAATAGAGTTTGATCTTGCAGAAACAAATGCTAAACACCAATAACTATCGTCATTAAAAAGACAAGCTAAATGATGCACCTACATATTGTGACACAGTTAACCCAAATTCTGGTGGCAGTTAAAGCTTATTTGAGATTTTTTCCAGTGTTTGTTGTTTAATTTAATATTATTTGAAATCTGTGCTATCTAACTTTGGAACAACACGGTAGCAATGTAAATATAATGTTCTATCTATTTCCAAGGCCTGGGGTCATGAAAATTTTACTTGGCCCAGTGTATGGGCAAATTAAATTCTTATATTTCATATTTTTTTAGAATATTAATGAGGAAAATTTGCCATTTCTAATGTTTTTCTTGCACAATGAACATGAATAAGTACTAGTACAATACATAAAAGAAAACAATTGTTATTAATATAATTTTGTTTCCATTGTTTAAAAAATTAAAGAGAAAATATCTTTTAAATGACCATCAGATTATGCTATTTTGTCCATAAAAAAATACAATGGGCCAGGGTGGTAATTTGTCTTTGTATTGTGGCACTTAAGTTTAAATTTTCTTCTTTAATACGTTCTTAAAGAAGAAAATTTAAACTTATGTATAATTGGATGATTAGAAGAGAACTTTATAATACAGAAAATGAGAGCTCAAGTCATCTGGGGGCCATGGGTGCAGAATGAATTGGACAGAGGTATGTATAGAGTAACAGAAGTTGGAATTTGAATCCTGTTATATTTATTAATGTGAATACAAAGAAGTTATTAGTTAATAATTCATTCAGTAGTTATTGAAGATCTAACTTAATAATTATTTGGTTTGGTTTAAGTGTGCCTCGCTTAAAAGAACATTAAAGCAACAGTTTTCTAATTTTAAAATTGTTTGTGCAGATAATGGACGGCCGCAAATCTACCGGAGGAAAATTGGAAGTGAAAATGGGCATTCGTGATCCCCTGCTCGTGAAACAGGTGGAAGAAGTCAGAGAGAGGTGGTTAGTAATCGGCAGCTAATTCTTTGATTTCTTTTAATTAATAGATGAGCATTTTATCTTAGCGTCATTTCGGAAAATTGTACTTTTAAAGTGTCCTTAATCAAAAATGTAACTGCTGGAAACGTGATTATTGCATATAAATCTGCCTTAAATCTGTAAATTATGTAAATTTATTGTTTAATAATAAATTGATTTGTTAACTATTAAATGTAGATAAATATATAACATTACTGTCTTTGTTAAAAGTGAGTAAATGATTATATGGAACATATTAATATATTTACCTGTAATTCTGGATGACCGGTGTTTGAATCTGATTGGATCCTGGATACGTCATGCCCCATAAATGGACCTGTAAAAAAACTATCTATAGGTCAAAAAGAATTTAAAAGGAAATTTGTGGTGTTATTTCTGCTGGCTAGTTTTTTTGGGCCTTGTGGTCATCAGAAACTAATGCCACATAATACATTTTACATCATTTCCAGTATTATAGCATGTAAAAATCTGCTAACTAATTTGAATAGATTTTTACATGCTATAATACCAGAAATGATACTAATGTCACATAACATGTTTTACTTCAGAGATCCTCAGTTGTGACTAAGCACACAGCTTGCCGTAAGAACATACTTGACAATCTTGCCAATTAACATTTGCATTTGATTTTTTATGAGTATTCTTTTGTTCTCTGCTCTGACAAAAATTAATGCAGAAAGTGATTTTAGATTCTTATTGCTTTTTGTGCAAGAGTTGAATTTATCTCATAATTACCAAATTCTTATAAATAATACATAGGGTGTGATGCTATTTCTTTGTCTTTTGGAATTAAGAAAGCCTTTTAGTCAGATGGCCAGCTGATGAGGGGTGGGGCCTGATTTACCTCCAAAATTCTGGTTATTTTTCTGCATTCCTTCAAACATTTTAAAAGTATGCCAAACAATTATATATTTGAAATTTTTATATGTTCAAAAAGTAAATGATGTAAATACAACCACAACCTGCATTATCAGTAACACCAGCCAAATGGCCGAGGGAATTACAGAGAGTGACCCGCTGGTTTGGAATCTTGAAAATTTTTCACGGGTCCAAATCTGGACAAAAAGGATTCCACTCCTCGTCACCCTGCCTACACCACCACCATAATAGAGAAAATAGAGCTATTTGCAGCTCAAGGACCATCTAATGCTATAATAGTTGTGTAATAAATATTTCTGCCAATTCAAGCATTGTAATTGCTTCCTGGCATAAGTTTGGCCGGAGCATATGGAGAGTCAGCTGTAAACATTCAGAATTCTTTTAATAATGAAATTTTTCTTGTTTTTAACTCAGATATTGTTTTTGTCTTTTTTAAAGGACTGCTTATAAATAACGTTCAAAACTGAGTTTAATGACATTTACAAATAAATACTATTTTAGACTTTAGACTGTTTGTTTTTTGCTTACAATTTGTATTCATTTTAAAATATTTTTGGGTGTTTTCGTTAAGGGCAAGAAAACGTAATCAAAGAATTTATAGTTAAGCCTGTATATACATTTATAATAAGGGATGCCTTCGGGATTCCCGAGAACTCCGAATCGGGAAGGGGGCGACGAGAATTATATGCATTTAATTATGGAAAGGTAGGGAAATGTTTAAATCTATCTTATCTTAACATATGGTTTAAGTGTTACAAAACAAAAGATTTATGATTTTGGGTGGCTTTGGAGTTTGTTAAGGTTAAGCCAATATTTTTATTTATTTATTAATATTAGGTAAATTATTGTAGTTTGTAGTGAGAAAATAACTATGATATATGTTATTCACAATTTATAGAGAAGGGGATTAAAAGTCAGTAGATTTAGTTCTTGTATTTCAAATATAGGCTGTTAAGAAGAAATTTACAGACATAATAACTTAGAGGATGATGAGTTAGAAGTTGACAAATAAAATAGCTAAATGTAGGATGGCAAGAGTTCAGACAGTGATAGTGATGATATGGAGGCTAAAAGAAAGACGTGTTAGTGATATTCTAAACCTATATAAACAAAGGACAGGTGTAGTGTGTAGTAGGCCATTAATAAATCTTCATTCATATTCTACTTTTGATAGTGCAGAATATTATATAAATTACCAAACTATGTAGAGCCAATGTGAGTGTCATAAGAAATATAATTTCTTGTGTCAAAAATACAAAACTATTTCTCACTATACCAAATCAAGTAAAATTGTATAGCACACTTTAACACTTAAAAAATAGCCATAGAAATTTAATCCAGATAAAGACAAACTATTTAAAGTATTGGAGGATAAGCTATGGTTTTTCCTAAGTATATCATACATAAGTAAATAAAATAAAACAGTAAAATCAAATTCATTACATATTTTACCATTGCCTATATATTGAACTGCTAGGTTATACTCTGAAGTTTTGTGCATAATGTTCTTTCACAATATGTAGCAATATAACAGATTTAAACAGAACTCTATTTAAAACCTGGATAAATTAAATCGAAAATATAATTATTTTCCATTTATGCACATCCTCATCTGTAATTTCAAATCATTATCATATAATTTTTTTCTTTTTACATGATATAAAATTAAAAAAATGTAATTACAAATAAGATTTTTTTGACAGAACAGTGGGAAAAAAGTTACAAAAAAGCCTGAAAACGGGAAAACTACCCACTAACCAAATAGATAAACATCATCTTGCCATAGAGTGACTCTAACACCAATCTGATACATTAACTCTCCTTGAGAGCATAGGCCAGGGGATCATCCGATTACTTTTATTCAAAATCAAACTACAATAAAAACTATTCCTGAATACAATGACAAATCTCACGCCATGTACAGTACAGTACATCTTAATTAATTTTGGAGAAATTTTGAATTCCGCATTTCGTTTAATAAAGAATTTCACGATTATATTTAATATATTATAAATAAGTTACTTCTTTATTTGAATACACTAGTGTAGAAACATATTGTCATTGGTTTGTTCACGCGTCAATATTCATTTTAACCAGTAGCATCCCGGCTAAGATGCCAGCTAAATGACCCAAAAAGGACGAATTCGGATCGATTACGTGAACGAACAAAATTTCGGTCCACATACACCAAAACGTATCGATTTTCACGGAAAAAATACTTATGAAAGGCCAGTAACGACTGGCTAATACTTTAAGCGAGAGAATAACTCCGGATGCACCCACGATGCATTGTTTGGCATAGTCTCGATCTACGGTGTCCATAATACTTAATAGAATGGCAAGAATGGCGTTGCTAGTTATTACGAGGATCAGCAGGCGGCAGAGGAATTTGGTGCTTCCTATTTTTCCTTCTATAGCTTGACCATAGATGGTAAATAAGAGCGTGTTGAAGAAAATGTGGCCCTCGTCCAGATGCACGAACGATGCCAAAAATAACCTGGAAAGCTCTCTGGTCTCGCATATTTTCATTACTCCTATGCAGAAGTTTTCGGGTTTTAAGAATAGAACGTGTCGAGCGTTGTAGATGCACAGTTGCAGGCAAACAAAGAGTGACGTAACCACGGGAAAGGCCATCTTACGTATCGAAAGATCTTGTTACACGCGTACCTTATAAGCGATTGTTGCGTAACAAAGAATTTTTCAAATAATTGAAGTAATACGGCGTCAATAAAGTTAGCCTGGATGTCAAATTTTTGAGTGGCTTTCTCGTGTGTCGATGATATAACATATTTATGCAGTCGATCTCAAATTTACAAATGATGGAAAATTAATTTTTTCGAATTTATGCAATCGGTAGTTATAAATACATACTGAATCATCCCTCGAAAGTCTACCAGATTTTAAGTTTGTTGTGAAAGTTCAATTATATTTAATACCAAACTCGATTTTATTATATATCTAAGTTCAAATTGTAAATAATGCAGTCACGAAATTACAAAAAAGAATGTTTAAATACCGAACGTTACAACGAAGAAATTGGTATTTATTTAGCAAATTTTTCAGCACAAAAATACGATTGTAAACAATTTGTTTAACTCTTGACGACCATTGCTGAAAATCACTGTACTTTGTTGTACAGTGATTTTCAGCAATGGTCGTCAAGAAAATAAATAATTCCTTCTGAAGGCGTTACTTAATAAATTCCTTCAGTCGTCTTCACAATACCATAAAATATAATACTTTATCAGCCTCCAAATCTCATTGCAACAAGATAAGCCATTAACCGGGGAGGAGAAGGGCAGAGGCGATTAAGGCGTCGTCTCGCCACTCTGGGAAACCGGGATCGAATTCGGGAGAGCAACTTCCCTCGAATATTTTATGGGCGGTCCCCAATTATCCCACGATGGACAAGGAAAAAGGTACACAAGAATAAAAATATCCAAATGAAATCAAGAATTCGGTTTGCGGAATTTGTTTCCGATCGCAAGAACTTTGGGATATTTCACCCTACAACAAAATAAGATTTGGCTTCATTTAATTATAATTAAGTCAAACCCAGATTCAAATGGATTATTTTCAACAGAATTGCAAGAAACCGATAATTAGGCATCAACAGAAACTGAACTACGCTGTATGGATTTGCCTTGGCGTGAAGAAAACGCAGTGTGGAGTTTAATAACGAGAAAGAAATCTAATTCGTATTTTTAACTAAATCTAACCGTCGAACTGGCTTAAATCTATGTTAACGACCCAAATTGAAGATGCTGGCACAACTAAATACGGTAGTTAATTTATGTTATTATGTATAATTTGTAACGTCTTTAATAAGACCTTGGTTAAGAGGGAAACCGGTCCAAAAAAAAAAAGAAAATAGTTATTTATAAATGACACTGCACGAACTTAACACGGCCATTTGTTACTTACAATATTCATCACGCGATTTTGCATCATATTAATGTCACTCGAAATACGCCATTCGGCCGGTTTTCCAATTGCGTAACCACTTGTTTTGCTGGTTAACGTTCGTTACCTCACTCGTGTTTACACTTAATTCCTTTCGTACTTTATAAACGAGTGCATTTAATTGTCATTTACGTACTTTAATCGGATTTTAAATTATAAATCGGTTCAATTTTGAAAATCTTGTCTATAGCGGGGTGGTCGCCACGTTAGTTTCGCCTGGTTTCGTTGCGAGCCTTGCACTGCAAAATTTGATACAGTCGATCCTCCTATAACAGTTGATAATTCCGTTTTATATGAATTCCGTGTTGTACGAGTCACTTAGATTTTACAAATACGTGTGCCGGGCTGTGAACGGCTCACGTATTTGTAAAATCTAAGTGACTCGTACAACACGGAATTCATATAAAACGGAATTATCAACAGTGTTATAGGGGGAGTCGACTGTAATTTGTTATATTTTATAACTACATAATACGATTTAATTAATTAATTAGAGCCGATTGTGCTTTTACCGAGCGTTATATTAACACTAAGGTGCAGTGTATAATTTTAAATTGACGCCATTTTCGGAGCATTTTCAAAACATAAGAACATGGTTTTGTTTCTAACGACATTCCGAAATTTCCTAAAATTGCTGCATTGTATTGGAGGCAAACATTTAAAACACGTCGGTTCATATTTAATTTGTCTACACGTACAGCGTAAAAGACAGACGGGGATATATTATTTAGTTTCTACCGAATGAGGCTTTGGTATTAGTAATTTATTAGGAAGTTGCGCAGATATACAACGCGTGAATTGATGTATTTTTAATTGTAATTCGGATAACCTTGAAAAATAAAAGTGAAACGACGACTCTGGACACTGAAGTTACGTGTCATGCATATTGCTTTTCGTGCCGTACTTACACGATACAGTATTATTTAGTGTGTTAACCTTTCGAGAAACACTTTTCCTTCGAAACTTTTAAGGCATAATATACCTTAATTGTGATTCAACCTTGAAATGTTCTTCAACTGACTTTGAATAAATTCAAGTTCAGCGACTCGAACACGAATTATCCTTCGAACCTCCTCCATTCACGCTTTAATATATTCCATAAGGAACCGTATATTAAAAAATTAAAACATGTACTAAATTATGAATTTATAATTAACCAATTGGAAATTTCTTTATGGTTCAACGAGCCGTTACACGGAATTTTTCGTGCCTCGAATTAACCATAGGCTATATTTGCCACGTGATTTACGACTGCCGTATTAAGGTTTTGATTAATGAAAATATCTGACCCCTCTTCTAAATTATTTTTACTTGGAATTCTCCAGAGATTCTTGTCAGAAGAGGATGTTGCTCGTTTTATCCATGGGTTTATTTATGTGTTGAACATGGCGGATGACAGCAGAAGCGTGTTGAGTCGAATTCAATAACTTCCAATCAGAAGACAATGGGAGGGAATTTAAAATTACTCATACTTAAATAAATTTTCCGTTCGGTTGTTACACTTAATCGGTTAGCCAGTAACACAATGAGGTAAGTTCGAGTCTCGTTCTATGTTGATCTTTCTTAAATGCTTTTCCCAAGAGATTTCAACGTTCAACATAAATTTAAGGATCTTTCGATGGGTTTTAATTTTATACAAAATTTCATTAATTATATATAATACGTACAGATTAAAAATTATAAATATATAGTGAAGAAATTTTAGAAATTTAATTTTTTATAACGAATTTACTGGCTTTTAATTTCATTGCCATTGTGAGGTTAATGCCATTCAGTTGAAAATCACGTTTCAATTTGCATACTTGTTAGTAAAATAGCAATTCTGGGAGTATTTTTGACCATCATCATCAATTGTTTAACGATACCTCATCATCACTCGCCACAATCTCGTATGGAAGTATCCTCGTCGTTATTGCGCGAGGCCTTCGAAGAAGCCAATAATCTTATAGAGAAAATGAGAGAAAAAGAAAGAAGATGGATCAGTCAAGGTAATGTTTACACATTTTTCATCTTATTAAATGCAATCGAACTTAAATATAATTATCTTTAGGAAGAATTTTGAACAGCGGTCGCGATTACGCCGAAGTGCATCATCAAAAGTTTACAATGACCTTTCGTAAATCGATAGAAATGGAGAAAGTTGCCGAATGTTACGAAGAAATGTCTAAATTATTAACGACCAAGTAATTATGAAATGAGAAAATTAAATATTTAATTAAAAATGGCGCCTGCCATAACTAGAAATTGTGTTTTCTTAGGTTGGATCTCGACAAATATCAAATTCTTCACGACATGAAGAATATCGATATCGGTCACGAATTCCAAATCGATTCTGCAGATCTTTGCCAAGGGAAGATTACCAATAATTGCACTAATTCAAAGTACAGAACGTTCGATGGGAGCTGCAATAATTTGCAAAATCCTAAGTGGGGCGAAGCGTTTATTTGCTTAAGAAGAATCCTGTCGCCGGATTACGAGGATAGTAAGATAAATTAGAAATTAATTTTAAAAAAACAATTCAAAGAAAAACTATAACTATTATTTTTTAAGTTAAATTTTTAGGATAATATGTTAATATTTATGCTTTTGTTGCAAAGACGGCTCGATGTGGCCGACTGGATAAAACACTAAACATTGCTCGCGGGTTCGCGCCTGTTCGACATGCCGGCCACGTGGAGTTTTCCGGTTTTTCCGGAAAACTCCACGTGGCCGGCCCCACGACCAATGTAACACCTAAATTGGGATAGAAAGTCCTCCTCCCGGGAGGCATCCCCTCTTGGTAGATCCCCACGTGTCCCGTTGCCGTATAACTTATCAGTTATTTTCTTATTTACCAAGCTAACAATGAAGAAATAAGCAGATATTATATCAACTTTTTAAATAAAACAAAAGGTTAATTTTACTTTCGTGTGGATAATACGATAATTAATTAAATGATTTATGAAGTAATACCATTATGTGACAGATAAACTATTCCAATAAATAGATTAACAAGATGGCGAAGACGATAGAGAAACATTTTATCTCGCAATACCATCATCATCACCATAATCGTATATTATCGTCTTGAGTCGTCGGGCAAATGACGTAAGACGATAATATACGATGAAAGTAGTTGATGCTAGATGGGTGGGTTCGATTATATTTATTCATTTGATCTTGATCTTAACGATTTTTGCTTCTAACCAACACTTTGCAAGGCTTTATCATCGTTACTGTATTGTCGGTACATTTTATTAATAAATAAATTTCGATACGTAGGACCTACAGAAGTTCCGAGCAGCATCAGAACACCAACCTATTGTGTATAAATTATCATTTGATAAATATTTTCTCGCTAACAATTCCTTTACGTTTATACACGAAGAAGAACGATACGCGGGTAGAAAGGATTTTATTTGAAGGGTTGAAGATTTTATTGTTTTTGACAGATATTTCTCTTCCTCGAGCTGGCAGAAATGGTCCTCTCCCTTCTCCTCGTGAATTATCTGTGAAGGTTCACAAGCAAATTTATAACGAACCATCCGACAGAAATACCCACATCGTCATGATATGGGGTCAATTTATAGATCACGACATCACCTTAACACCGATTAGTCGAACGGGTAATTAATAACAATTAATATTAAATACATTTTAAGTATATTGTTGACGAGGATGACATTTCGTTTTTTCAGTCGACAACGAAATGATTCAATGCTGTCCAGCAAACGAAAATGATCATCCACAATGTCTGCCCATCCTCATCAGTCCTCGTGATTATTTCTACTCTAAATTTAATAGGAAGTGCTTAAATTTCGTTCGATCAGCCAGATGCAGTTCCTGCATATTTGGTATTTATAAATAATACTTTATATCATATATAATCATGGAAGATGGCATCACTTTCGTAGATAACTAACTCTGGAAAGATGGTAACACTACGAAGTATTTAGTGGTGAATTAATTAAAATTTTATTTGATTTTTCTGATGCAAAGCGGGAAAATCAGTAAAGATACATCTATTTTGGCTAATCTTTACTTCAATTGGTCCGTTAATTGATTCTCGTAAACACGAAGAAGACAATTAAAATTGCTTGAAGCCATCTCTTATGATTATTATTCACATATTTATTTTAACTATAGTATTTTTATTCAAATTCTTGAGGACCACGCCAACAAACGAACCAACAAACAGCTTTTGTTGATGCTTCTCAAGTTTACGGGACTGCAGTTGACGACAACAATAATTTAAGAAGCAATAACAATGACGGTGAGAACTTTACAGATTTATATGCATTTTTTAATATTAAAATTATAACTCATCAATTGCGTCTTTTTAGGCAAATTGCTAATGAGATTTCATCCTCGTAGTGGCGACGTATTACCCGCCTCCACCAATCCTAATTCGGATAGTTGCAGTAGACCCAATGAAAATCTTTTATGTTTTCGAGCAGGTAATTTCTTCTATGAAAGCATCTTACGGGTGAGGCATTGAGCTATGTGATAGGGCCTAAATTTTATCCATTGAAGTCAGTCAGCGCAGATGACAGATGGGAACCACGTGCACTACATAATGAAGACTCTTAGATGCCATTAATTTAGACATCTAAGGCTAGTACTTGACATTTAGTATATCTTATGTTTCTAATTTTTGAATAGGTGACGTCCGATTAAACCAAAATCCCGCATTGACCAGCATGCACACGATTTGGGCCAGGGAACATAATCGCATTGCCGAACAATTAGCGTGTTATAATCCTAAATGGTCGGATGAAAAATTATTTCAAGAGACAAGGTGAAGATTGAGAATTACTTTTCAACCATATTTGCAAGTTTTAATATATTTTTAAAAATCAAATTATAGGAGAATAGTTATTGCCGAGATGCAAATGATCACGTGGAACGAATTTCTGCCCGCGGTTCTCGGAAGCAACTACATGAAACGTTACTCTTTAAACGTGGCCGAAAATGGATGCACCGTTTACGATCCTCAATTTGATCCTTCGTTACTGAACGAGTTTAGCACAGCCGCTTATAGATTTGGCCACTCGTTAATAGATGGCATCTTCGATTTGATCTACTCCGAAAACCAAAAATCGAGCATTAGTTTACGAGACAACTATTTTCACCCTTTTGAACTGTACAATGGACAACTGGATGGATTGATGAAAGGTGCCACGCAACAACCTTCTCAGTGTTTTGACGAATTGCTCGTTGATGACGTCAGAAATCATCTGTACCAAAGGCGAGGCAATAATTCGGGACTAGATCTCGTTGCTTTTAATATCCTAAGAGGTAGAGATCACGGTCTACCCGGTTACGTCTCTTACGTCGAACATTTTTTTAATGTTAAAATTGAAAGGTTTAGTGATTTGAGAAGATTTATCAATCCAAATACTATTGAGATTTTCAAGAAACTGTACAAGTAAGCCGTGTTTATAGTTTTCCACTGATATTTTGTGAAATCTATCTTCATAATATTTACTTTTCTTATTTAGGAGCGTACACGACGTCGATTTATATACCGGTGGCACATCTGAAATTCCCGTTCAAGGAGGTATTGTTGGTCCTGTTTTTGCATCGATAATTGCGGAACAATTCGAGCGTTTAAAATTTGGTGATCGTTTCTATTTTGAACACTGCAACGAGATTGGATCCTTTACCCCAGGTTTTAATTATTTATATTTTTAGAAAATCGCTATTTTTCGTTGTTCTATCAGCATCCCGAAGAGACTTGGTTCAATATCTTATCGTAAGAACATTTCAGAATTCGAGACACCTTCAGTATATTAAAAAACAATATTAAAGTTTTACTTAATCCACAAGAAATACGATGAACGAATAATTCGTATAAAGTATCTTTGGGGTCTAAATATTAAGCCCAGGCCACCTGCCAGTCTCCTACGATAGGACTTTCGTATCCCTAAAACAGAATATTTTCAAGCCCGTAGTCATCCACCTAAAATGAAATGAATTCGTCTGTTTCTATAGCAACTAGTAGTTAGCAACGTAAGAGCCAAGTCTCTTCTAACGATAGACAGACAATAAAGAGTATTGTTAAATATTTTTAAGGATTAACGACGTTATTGAAATTATTAATTTGTAATGAGATTGCTGACAACGTATTGTTTCGTATTATAGAACAATTACGAGAAATTCGCAAAACAACACTCGCGAGGGTCCTATGTGATAATACCGAAATTAAAGATTTACAAAAGAAAGTATTCAGAATTCCGGATCATTGGTAAGAAATTAATTTAATCTAATGTATTTACATTTTGAAATAAATTAAATTAAATTTTAATTTTAGGAATTCCATTGTGAGCTGCTCAAGGATTCCATCTGTCAATTTGAAAATATTCAGTTAATTATTCCTTGTATTGTCAGTTAATACCAGCTAATAAATGTATTATAGTGCACTTTTTTTAGATTCAAAGTGCCTTTTTTTATATATATAAACGTATACGAACACTTATTTATTTTTGAAGAATTCGCACGCTGACAACACCAACGATATAAATATTTAAATATTCAAATTCCTATATATCAGATTATTCAGTAGTTATTCGTTTGCTAAAAAAGAAAGATGCGTGAATGCACCAAGCATTAATCAGTGCTGGATTATGGTCTATGCCAAAAATGGCCAACCTTTTTGAGCTCGCCTGCCGTATGTACGCGTACTTAGTTTTAAAGAACAATTGCAAGAAGCCTAGCAACATTCGTCCACGAAAGATCACTGGGATTACTCGCACGGATTCGATCCCAGATCCACCGTAGTAATAGACCGAGGCCTTAACCGCTACGGCCATCTGGCCGACTTATTTTAGGACAATTTTTTAGTTATTGGTTTTGATCTATTATTCCATAATTCAAAAATCTATTTAACTAGAAATTTTTCCGTCAAGCTATGACAGACTACTTCCGTGTAAAAATAGAACGTAGATATTGAAGAATCGAGAAGAGTAGAGATTTCAAGAGATTCGAGAAAAGCATCTAAAATTTGTACAATTAAGTAGATTATACAATTGATGCGCCGCAATACATTTTAAACAACAGATCGTTAGTTCCGATTGGATAATAGAGCGTCACGTAGTCACTATGGAACGTTTGAAAAATTTTATTTATTGTACAAGCGACACTACGCGAATATTTTTTAAATCGAATAAAGTAAATTTAAAATTACGGCATTTGTTAAAATATTTTAAAATGCAACTTTAGGCTAAAGCCGAAATCGATAAAACCTTTTTTTATATTGGTATATATAGCTAATAATTAATATTTCCGCAAATTAAGTTGTCTAAATTTTCCTTCGTGTATTCTTGCGCGTAACACGAGAATACAGTGGGTGATCGGTTAACGAACAGATCGGATAACGAACACTTCACTGAACAAACATAAAAAGAAGCGACGGAAATAGCAAATACCGATTGATTTTCCTTTGTCTTCGGGTAACAATTCGAAACTTTTCGGAGCGCGGGAGACGTCAACGTCGACGCTCAACCCGATATATACCGATCAGATTGTATTCCTCGAACTTTGAAATACTTCCTTGTAATTCCAGCCTTTTATTTTTCTGACAAACAATTCTTTTATAGTATTCGCGAGACTGTCGGGCGGGCACTCGTTAAGTTTTGTGTCGGGTTTTATTTTCGAAAGGCGAGAGTATAACAGCAAAGGTAGAGAGTGGGCAGATGATATCTGGTGTTGCTGGACAGTGCGGCTCGAATAACTCTACAGTAGGGCGCAGTTCAATCTTATCTAAGAAAGATACAGTATAATTAAGAAAACTCGAGCGGCTAAAGGAGTAACAAAAATCACATCTGAGAAATGAAGAACATCGAAGAGCTCATAATGGAACCCGAAACTGATCTGACGACAGAAAAACGCCAAGAACTCTCGAATGAAGAACACCGAGAAACTCGACGAGATGCGTTTTATTATGAAAAAGAGGATTAATGCCGATATCTGCTATTAATTAAAGATCTTTTGAAGAAATGGGGGATGTCAGATCAATGGTCTTAGAATGGCATACAAACCGGGTTGAGGTTAATAGGCTTGGGGATTTCTACAATTACAATGCTATTAATTACTTCTGAAAATCCTGAATAAGAGAGAAAAACAATCGGCATTAGACAGATTCTTTAACCCCACAAACAAAAAAACATGAGTAATAAAAATGCAAGTCTCTGTATATATGTATTATTATTATTATATTTAAATAAACGTAGTAAGAAAGTATATACTTTTTTTATTTTTGGGGTCTCCGGAACGAATTAATCAACTTCCCATACAAACCTATGGTAAATTGATAATCGGATAACGAACAAAGTCTTGGAACGGATTATGTTCGTTAACCGATCACCCACTGTATAACCAAAATTTCACCTGGATTGAACAAAAGTAGCAGGAGTTATAGGGAATCGACATCCACATATTAATACCACGCTTCTAAATAAGAAATTACTGTATTAACGACAACAATCGTTACTTCAAGAGTTGTTTTTTACGCAGCAATCGTTTATAAGGCATCCGAAATGCTACGCGTGTTACTAACAAGACAGCCTTTCAATTTTTTTAAATTGCCTTTCCTATAGTTACGTCACTGTTTGCCTGTCCTTGCGCATCCGCTTAAATCTGTCATACCCGTTTATTCCACGAATCGATTTCGACGCGTTTACCATATTACAAAAGAATTAACAAAGGATCGCTAAATGGAACACACCAAACACATGGTCTTTTTTTTTTTTTTATCAGTGTACTTCTAGGTATAATTAAAAGGCTTAACTTACCGCATCCGTCAAAACTCCTATCCCTTCACGTATCAGAAATTTAGTAGAAAAGGCTGGATTTTTCATCTCGTCCTCCATTTTGTATCTACCTTTTGACGTGTTGGACTGCAATTTGAAAAAATTGTAAACCTATAAATTCCCACTGTCGTCCTTCCGTCTTTCTTTTCTTAATCTTGAGAACGGAGTTAGTTACTTGAAAGTCGAGACCAGATACACTACGTACTTTTCCATCGACCAGTTACTCGAAACGCTCGCAGTTTACACGAAAAAGCGTGCGCATATGCAAATGAACAGATTGCGCGATTGGTGACCTGAAAAAATAATTTCCGCCTTTTAAAAACTGCCTTAAAATATTTACAATTTTTTTTTGGCGTCTTTTGCTCCTCCCTTACTTTTCGATCCGATGCGCGTTACTTTTCCTAGCTGTGTCACGTGATCGCGCGTCTCCTATTTGAAAGAATCACGTCACGCACGCAAGAATTCTACGAGATAACTACGAGAATTCCCGAAGGAAAAAATGTTCTTATCAGAAGACGAACAAAATAAATTTTTGCGGAATTACACGAACATTTTCGTCATTTTATCCAACGAAAGTTTATGAAAGATAAATTGCATAGAAGCCGAGGATTCGAACTCGGATCCACCATACCGCTAGATTAATATCACGCGGCCAACTAGCCGAAGCGATGATTAAATAATACGCAATTTAATTATTCAAACACAAAAATAAATAAATATAATTATTAGTGGTATTTATAAAAAATAAATTTAGATATTGTTTACAAATTTTAAGAAATTTTTATAATTAACGATACAGAATATTTAAGTTGCCGTTTCAGAACGTCAGAGGGCGGTAGGAGTAATTTGCAAAATGGCGGGTCATCGACACCACGCTGGATGCGAACACTCGAGTGCAGACAGCTCTCCAGAGCTTGGTATAGAATATAGTTTATTTAATAAGATTGATATTGATCACGTGGAATGTTTAAACGAAGAAGTCGATGGTTCGGGAAAATATATATTTAAACCATGGGAGAAGAGACTAGATCTAGAAAAGGTTGGCAGTGATACTTTCCCACCATTGAAAATATATACAGTAAATTGTTTTGAATTTCAGAATGTGCTCGAATTTACATAAATGTATTAAAAACAAGGATCAACAGTAATTACTATTTGAAAAATTAATACTGATTTTTTACAAATTAATATATTTATTCTTGTTTATTGCAGCTTATTTAATGCATATTAGTTAAACAATGACTCTACGTTCGTTAAAGCAAGATTTTATTTACGTCAAAGGATTCAGACTGAAAGATCAAAAGGAACCGCGGCTTTAGGATGATCCTTTGAGAGGTGCGGACTCCCAAAACTTGCCCCGAAGCATTGCCGTAATTTTAATGAACCGTTCAAAACAAATCTGAATATTATCCTTAGGTGTTTTTCTCGTTAAAATGCCGGGCAGTTTCCTATATACATTGCCAGCATAAAATTATTTTTTAATTTTTATTTGGTATAAATGCAAGAAAACTTAGAGCAATCTTTGACAAAATATTCTCTCCTTAAGTGTATGGTTCCTTTTGGTTTTCTTTTGCTTATGTCGGGGTGTTTTGCAACTCCGTGCATAGTAGTAGTGGCCTTTTGCAGAAATAAAATCTTGTCGGTGTTGTTTTTTAAAAGTTAATGCTTATGAAATTAATTTTTCCTCCTGCAAACAAATATCCTTTATAAATGAGCTTTTAATTAGATTTCGAATGCATGCTTGTCAAATGGGCGAATTGGCAAAAATAACCACTTGTTTGCTCGGAGAGAACTCTGTCGATTCCGAGTCGGAACCTTGGAAATTTTTGTGCGGTTCGACATCGATCCGTGAGCCGTTCTGCGCCACTTAGCCAACCATTCTAGGTTGAGAATGCGTACACTTTTTACACTTTTAGAATGGCAATGTACACTCTGAATGGCATGAGTGTCTTATATCAATACAAATAAAATGTTTGTTGCTAACAGTGCAAAAAGTACCAAGTTCAGTGGTGAGTTTTTGGTACTATTTTTTTACAGGAATTCTTCCACATACTCTGAAATGTCACCATACTAAATTTAGTTGCATTTGGACTATAGGGATACTTTAGTTACAATCACTGGTATAAACATAGTATAACAAAACATAACTTATGAAATCATTCAAATATTTAGCATTGATAAAAGACATATAAAACCTTTGAAGAAAATATTGAGAAAATTGCTGCATTATACTGTACAACAGGTGATACAAGTTTTGCTAGGTATACAAATATTCTGTTAGAATACAAGTTGGGTCTTGTCTATTCCGAATTTGGAACATTATATAATAGATTAGTATGGACCCCGAGCAAACATTCTGTTTGAATTTTGACATTATTCCAGAATTAAATAATTAGCTTGAAATTGTAGTTTCAAAATCACATCATTAATGTATTTATAAATGTTTATTTACTATTTAGAAATAGATGAAGACCCTTCTCGTTGTTGGTGCCCAAAACCAGAATGTAATAACATTTGTCACTTTGATCAGAACAGAGCCATTTTTGTTTGAAGATAAAAGCTTGCTATTGCTATTGTCTTGTATTTATAAATGTTTAAAAATTCTTTTTAAATTATAAAATGGCATCGTGAGAAATGCTCAAAGACTCGCTCTCTCGTGCAGTCGTATTTAGCTTTCTGTCATTCTTTTACGGCTTTATCCGACCGCTGACTTTTTTGTTTGGACTCTAGAAGAGATTCTGATGATTTGATGAAAAATTAAAGTCCAAAGTTAATTGACGAATTGGCATTCGGGAATTATTTGCACGTATGGAACTAGCATCCGAACAAATTCGGAAACCAAAAGATTATAAATATATTAAAATACGAACAAATAAACAATATAATAGTTTTTTGTAAAATATGTTAGATATTAAATATTAATTTTTGATTATTTTAGTACGTAGACAGCGACGTCGACGAAGAATTGCTGTTTAACATTCCGTGAGTATTTCTTTATGTTTAAGATTTTAAATAAAGTTGTTATATTTTCTATTACATATGATTAGAACAGATAAATTTCAGATTGGGTCACATTATTTTACTTAATTTTTTTTGTGACAAAATCACAATATTTTTTGGATTATCTTGTTATGTGAAAGATATTTATGAATTTTATATTTAAAATAAAAAACAAAAGTTATGTAATATAGAGGAAAGTAAAGGTTATATGTAGTAATTATTAAGTTTCTGCCATGTCTTCCATAAAAGCAAGTTTTTGAAGGACATTCATGTAATTGTTGAAGTATGCTCCTCTGGCTGGTATTTTTGAACAAAAACACCAACTCAAATCCTCATGCACGTGAAGCATTTTTAGAACTTGTCAGCTTCAACATCCTATTAAAGAACACTAAAGATGTTAATTTTATCATCATCAAAACAGTAAATATTATATATTTTTTAGTATTATTAAAAGATATATAAAATCAACACTGGAAACTGAGTAAAGTTTCTTATTATATATACATAATGGTGTATACTTTGTCGTCTTTAGTGAAATTATAGTTATTTCATTTGTCTGAATGTCAGATATATGATAATTTTTTATATATTTCCAGTGTAGAAAAAAGTAAAATATTACTATAATAAAGTAGACAATATATACACAGAAATGTAAAAAGTAAGGATAAAGAGGTAAAAAGAATTACAATAATAAAGTTTAAGAAGCCTCAACTCAAAGTGGCAAATACTCATGTTTTATGGTGCTTGTTGTCTTGGAAAGTTAACTGAAAATTATCTTAGAGAGATGCAAGTTTTTGGAGGTTTTGAATGTTTAATTCTGGGACTCTTCATACTAGTTAATGCAAAATTGATATGTTAAGGGTATGGGATGCTCAACCTCGAAAGAACCATTTATGATAGAATGTGATAGGGTGAATTTTTAGCCGAAGTGACAGAGATTGTTCCAAGAGATCCAAATTTGAATCTAGAATAGAACCTTGTGAATTTTTGATAGTTGCTCTGACTGGTCTGTAGATGATTTGGGATGTAACCTGAAATACATTAATGTAGATCACGTACATTGCCAGGGACTTGCATAGGTGTAGTAGGTAGGCTAGCATAAAAATACAATAGCCCAAGATCACTAGCAATCCATTATTGTGAAAGGAGATGCCAAATTGATGTGGCAACTTCTTGTGTGTTGTATGCAAATCAGTGATATATGTGAAGTGCTCAATAAAAACAAGAAAAGGCTGAATGAGAACTACTATTAAATTTTATTCTTTTTTATCTTGTGGCCATTTGCATAGTCTAAGTATTTGAGTTTGATGTGCACTGTTTTGTCCAATAAGTAACTGTTTCTGATACTTTTTATGGTGCTTAGTTTTAAAGTTGTGTGTGTGGAGGTGGATCAAATAATTTGACAATCAATAAGAAGCACAACAGAAGTAGGAAGTAGCAACTAAACTAGTTTGGATGCTGCTATCTTTAGGGGAGCGTATTTGTATGCAATTTCTGCAAATAACTTTTGATGTCAAATGTTTGACAAAGTCATCTTGATGCCATTTTTCTAAACACATTGCCAGACAGGAAATTGCAGGAAAACAGCATTGGCTAATTCAAAATTATTTTTGAATAAGATTTGTTTTCTGGCCCAATTTAAGTTCTTTAAAATACATTTAAAATTATAAAACTTGTATTCTACGTATCACAAATTTATCGTTTTTTTGAAAATTAAAATAGTTTTATCTTGCATTAATGTTAAGATATGATAAAGTTAATTTGTTTGAATGATTTTAACATAAAATATTTAATAAACTTTCTAATTTGTTCCTTTCTTGCAACTACAGTTTCACCGGAAATGTAAAGTTAAAAGGTATTATAGTAATCGGAGGAGAAAACGGAAGCCACCCTTCCAAAATGAGGCTGTGAGTTAAATTTTTCTTATTTAAATTAAGTTAAACTATATTTATTTGTAAAGATTATGATGCATGCTCGTACACAATGTAGAATATTTTGTACGAGCAAGCTAAATTGCGACGACATCCCTGCTTCCTTTTTGCTCAGAATATCAAGTATCGGCTGTGGGGAGAAAAATGTGTTTTTAATAGTATAGTTGTATTCTGTAACTGGTTTTATAGGTGTTAAATAATCAAAAAAGCCAGTTCTTCTTTAGTTTAAGTATAAATATTATAAAATTAATATATAATGCTTCTGAAAGGTTTATATCAAGAGTAAATGTTCTTTTGGATATCTCTGTCAGTAAATAATAATAAAATCATTAGTCTTGATTTACAGAAAAGCCTACTTTATTGGAGCAACCGTTGATAAATTTTGTGTTTCTGAGAACTTTCAGTCCAACAAAGATTATATTTTTACACGCAATCCTAGACAAATGGTTATTAAAAGGAAATGTTAAGTATTTGAATGCATTTGATTCTAAGAAAACACTGACAAAAGACGTAGCAAATTATTGTTTGTTACTGGGATTCAAAATTAAAAAAATAAACATAAATTTTAACCATTCTTCTTCTTAAAAACTGTTTATATTTGTATGTTCCCCTGTATATTGGTTTTGTCTCTCTGGAAGATCAAAGTACAATTTTCATGAATATTAAGACTGGATTGTTTCTCAATTTTGTTAATCCAATAGTGGAATTTGTAAAAGCTTTACTTCTAATTTATCAGGTTTCCAATTGGAATGCCACTTCAGTCAAGGATGTTTGCATTTGTCTGATTTATTAGATTTTTAATTTTATTAAGTATTGACCAACTTTGACAAGGTACTTCTTTGATTTGAGAACCACTTTATTTAATACGGAAAGCCTCATCTTGTGGTTATTGTTAAGATATATTTTTGACATTTTAAATTATTTTCAATATTCTTTTACATGAGAATCAATACAAGTGTCCTGTTTTGAGATATCATATTTACTCACATATAAGACAAGGTTTTCATATTTTTCACTGCTTCAAAAACCTAGGTCATCCTATATGTGCGAGCAAACCTGGCAACAGTTCAGTGCGTCCCCACATAGTCTTTGTCTCCCTCTTGAGTTCATTCTTACCACATGCATTGTACTGGTGCCAGTCCTTATACCTCAGTTTGAAATAAAATTATTTTATTTTTTTCAAGATCTGTGATTATTTGGTCTAAAACCAAAAGCATTTTTGCAATAATTTCTGTGAACCATGTATAGTTCTTGCTTCCGTTATAGGTCTACAGTCTATTTATTATAAGTTGGCAGCTACTGTAAACAAATTAAGACACACCCTCGTTGTTTATTAGTTTAATCCTACGTCCACCGATTAGAACCGTGTTGCATCTCATTCATCTGCAGAAATAGTTCCTCATTATTTATAGAATCATTAATGAAATACAGGTCACTCAGCAATTATTATAAACATAACAATTTAACTAATATGAGATAACTATTTTTAATGAATATTAGCACATTCTGAATAAATTAAAAATAAACTTTTTCCAGTTATGCTCATTATAATGTTTTGGTTTTGTTTTCCATTCATCACCTATTAAGGCAAACAACCACGTTTGTCTTAATACGTACATTTTATAATATTTTATTTGTGATTAAACGAAATAAAATTGGAATTGTATTAATAAATTTATTTTTCTTTAGTTTGATCTCTAAAGTCACACCTTTTTCTATATGCGAGATTGTCTTATACGTGAATAAATATGGTATTTGTCTCATAAGAAAATGTTGCAACAATGTCTGGCAGTACTTCAGATGAAAAGTTTAGGGTTGGATGATACATTGCCATTTCATTCTTATTCTGTTGTCATCTTCGATCGTCATGTACGGAATTTAAGACTCTACGTCAGTGTCTAAATCTTGCAATATTTCTAATTCTAATTTCTCTGTTGTAATTTATTTATTTGTTTACAGTATGGCAAAACATATCTAAATCTCACTGCCATAATACAAATGTATTCTTTAGGCAATGTTGTATAATTTTTGTTGCTACTGTAGACATAATTTTAAGAAAATTATATATTAAATGCATTATTTGCTTTCTCAAAGGAATTGGGTTTTTTTTAATATATAGAAATTTAAGAATAAAGTTAAGATAATGTCAAAGTTTTCAATATTCAACGTAATTTTTTTTAAATATTCATAAATTTGCATGTGATGAAATTTGCAAACAAATGTTTTTTGTGAAGTTTCATACACTTGTTTTTGATTCTTAAAATTTAACATTTATAATCATTACTTTCATTAGGAATTTAGAAAATTTATGAAATTTATATAAACATTATATATTATTCTAGATTCAAAAATAGGCCTCATCTATCATTTGATGACGTCGGTGCCACTCCGGATCAAGAATTTGAATTATATCCCGATCCCACGGGAACGTTAGAATATTCGACAAAGTAAATCATTATTTATTATTTAGTCCATAACAGGAAGACTTAAATCAGACCTCTCATCTTTTTATATTCTTCAAGATTAAGTGACCTCTTAGGAGCAACTCTTCCTGCAGGAGATGGCCTTGATGAACTTGATGAACTTGCTGGTAATGGTAATGCCAAGTCAATTTTTATATCAAAATTATGAGCTGTAAATAAATCATCTCCAGAACGTTGTTGTTGAACGTTATTTGTAGCTTTAACTTTTTGTTTCATTTCTTCATTTTTTCTTCTTTCCTCCTCCTCTTCTTCTTGTTTTTTTATACGTTCTTCTTGTAACCTTTGTTGGTGAAGTTTCTGAAGTATTTCAGCATTAATTTGTGCTTCACGAGATTTTGTAACTAATGTAGGAGCACACCTTCTTCTTGTAAATGGATCATCTACTGCTTTTGCTTTATTTTCTTTTGCTTCTTGTAAAATAGCTTTTTCTGAATCCAAAATATTTTTTAATCTGTTTCTTTCATTTATATAACTAATTGCACTAATACTACTAGTGCGAAGTTTGTCTAACTCTTTAGCCCTTTCTTCAAGTTGTTCCAGTTCTGAATTTAATCTCTGCACTTCATCATCATTGCCAAGCAACACAGCCATATCTTTTTGTTTCATCAGCTGAGTCTTCTTTACAGCATAATTATGTGGGTTTTTTTTGAATCGTCCCTTCTCTTTCACAATTGTTTCAACATCATCTTCCTTATATTCATAATTAATAGCANTCCGAGAAGATAAAGGTGCCAAGATTGCCTGGCATCTTTGACTATCATGACACGAATCATCTATGATGTTGCTATTTAAATTAGATTTTGATGAGTATTCAGGAAAGATGATACTTCCATTTTCAGTATGTGCCACAATTGAATTTAAATCATATTAATTAATGTAAACTCTGTTAATTGAAATTTGCATAATATAAATGGCAAACAAGAATTTGTGTTTAAAGGGGTTTAAGTCAAATTAAATAACAAAAATTTATTATATATAATACAGTATTATATTATATATAATATTACATTGCATTTTTAGCATTTTTATGTATGAAATACAGCTAAAAAGATAAAAATTTAAAAAAAAGCTTTATTTTTTGGGATTAGGAACAGATTATTGTTTTTATAGGAAAATTTGTTTTGGATTTAGAACATCTTTTAGGAACAAATTATGTTTGAAAACAGATGTTTGACTGTAAATTAAAACATGAAAACAATAAATAAAATACATAAATACTGATAAACAACAACTTTACCAGAAAACTGGAACTGTATGTAGAGTAGAGAATCACACCTAAATGCAAAATTTACAGCAAAGAAATGCTTAACTTCAATGTTTGAACGTTTTTGGCCCCTATTTTGTCAGCCCTATTCAAACAATGTTAGTTTTCATTTTATTTTATGTAAATACTGTAAAATAAAATGAAAACTAACAACTTTCCTCTTAGGTTTCATTTCTTCCACACTCTTCTTGGATGCAATAGTTAATAGGTAGAGGTTATATATTAATATATATCAAACACACTAAAAATGAAGCAAAAATGTATTGAAAATATATGAGCGTAATACAAGAGATGCTTTCACAGCGCAAGAGATGACTTGAATGCACAACAGATGGTGCTTACAAGTTTATGCAGTGATTGCATTTTTCACTGCATGTATAGTTTGAACGTGGAAGCATTGTTTGAACTTGAGATTGAATTTCTGTTAAATTTAGTATTCAAATTCTGGAATGTTCAAAGCTAGAATCGTTTGAAATACAAGGTGTCACTGTACGTACTTACTTTTATGTAAATCATTGGGATGGCATCTTGTTTAAATAGGGCAATCAAATGAAAAGTTTATTTGTAAGGAGTAAGTATAAATATGTAAGGGGTCTCAAATGTTTTCTCTCATACAATATATACTTAAGTATTTTAGTGTTTCTCAGGGCATGTAATTGTTTCATTTGCATCTGTCTTGCGGCTTCACCGAGTACACTCAAACTTTCATTCGATCACTGGTACGTACAAGAATATGTTTGCCGCAAAATCAGTATCGGTATACTGTCAAAAATTTGAAATTAAGAAAGTGTCGCTAGCTTAAAAAGCTCTGAGCCACTGAAAGAAATTTTTAAAATTCATTATATTAAAGTATACATTTAATACAAATTAGAAACTAGCTATTTAATTGAGTAAAATTTAACATATTTAGTGAATAAAAAATAATTTTTATTAATTATTATTTGTTTTATTTGACAGGATAGTAAAATTTTCTAGTATGTATTATCTTTCCATACATTTCCCAAAAAATTTTGGAAGTGACAAAACAAGAATATATTACATAGGTTTACGAGGAGAATTTTCAGAGGTAAGTGCTTCAATTAGTTAATAATAATTACTAAGAAACTGTTAAACTTGTGAAGTGATTCATAATAACATGTAAAATGTGAAACAAACTAAAATCCAAATAATTACTCCTATGTTACTACACAATTTCAAGATTATAATTAATTGAATTATGAAATTTTGTCATTTATAAGAGTTTTAATCATCTGAATTAATTTGAAATTAAATAATTCAGAAACATTTGAAAGAGTAGAACAGCATCAAATCCTTAACTGTTTCAAGCCTATGAAAGCATGTTATTAGTTAAACTTATCTTTTAATATAAAATTTCATGTACTGTAATTAATTATAATTGATCTATGGTTTATTATTATTGTAAAAAAACTTTAATCCTGAGAACTTGTGTTTACATTCATATTTAGCATTGAAAATTGAAATAATTTTTAAACTTTATTCTATAATTATTTTAAAATACCTTACTTATTTGTACAAAATTATTCAAATTATTAATTTGTGTCCTGTTTTGGATTCTTAAAATTGAAATAATAATATATCTACAAAAGCTTTTCCAAATTTATATGGGTTGCCCCAAAAAAAGTGAATACAACTTTGATTTTTAATAACTTCTATCTTTATTTTCTTAATATTTAATTTAATTAATAACCATAATTTAGACTTCAATTTATATAATATTTACTTTAATTTTTTAATTTAAAGTGTATATACATATTTTTGGGACATAATGTTAGTATTTTATTCAAGTATTGTCAGGTTATTTTGAGGATCTTGCTTTTATTCTGATTTTTTTTTTAACTTAATTAGTTATTAGAGTTATTAGAAAATTTACAAAAATTCTCAAATGGACAATACTTTAAAAAGTGTCTTCTGACTTCATCCCTTTCAACCTCCATCAGGAAATAACAGTCATACAGTGGAGTCGATCATTCTTTAGAGGCTTCTTGTCTGCCTCAATAATTAAAACATTAAAATCTTCTTGTTTTCCCATATTGGTGTGGTAGAGAAGTCTCTAAAGAAAGGTCATCTCCATCTCACGACTGTTATTTCCTGATGGTGCATGAAAGAAATGAAGTGAGAAGACACTTTTAAAGTATTGTTTAAGTATAAACTTAGTAAATATTGTCCTGGCCATTTTATCAAATTTTGTAATTGATAAATAGAGCGAATGAATAATATATCAGTTTTATATTGGTGATTTTTCTTTTTACTATTAGAAAAGAACCAGATTTATTTAATTTGCTCTATCTTGTTGCCCTTGGCACTGTCTGCATGTATGCCACAGATAGATAAATTTCAAGAATAAAACAAAGCATTTTATGCTTAATTCCTTTATGAACTAGTTAAAGATTTATTTCAAGTACTTTTGTTTAAAGTAAGTTTTTAGCATCTTCAAGATTACATGATCCTGTAATTTTGTTTTATATCAAGCGAATATTTGTTCTGTTGTGCTTGAATCAGTTAAAAACTTGTTTAGTTTAATTACAGTAGATCAAAGATTGAAACTCTGCCAAGTTTCTGGGATCACTTTTTGGACTGCAATTTGAAAAAAATTGTAGATCTATAAATTAAAACAACTTCTTACAGAGCATTAGTTATCCATTAAAGTGTTGTTGTTACTGGACTCCTAAGATTCTAGAGCAGTGATTCCCAAACTTTTTCGATCCACTGCTCCCCTTTGTTCCATAAAGTTATACCCAATGCCCCCTAACCCATTTTCTCTTGTGTGAGAAAGGATTGGAAATATTCTTAGGAAAACTTTTCTATGAATCTCACCCTTTGTGCCCTTACCATACATTGTTCTCAACATCTGGAAACCATTAAACTCAATGTTTCCTCTTATCAGTTTAACAGGGAAAAGGGAATGGCTTTCAGTGACCCCAATTTTGCCTTTGGTCACCGTTCAATACCTGCCTCCAGAGCCCCCCTATATTTACTCATCACCCACAAGGGGGTGTTATTTCCCACTTTGAGAAATGCTATCTGTCTGTCCTTCCTTAATCTCAAGAACAGAGTTAGATAGATGAAACCCGAGACCAGATATGGAAAGATTAGGGTTAGGAGGACCTGATTAACTATTTTCATTAATCAGTCATGTAATTTGGCTAACATTATCCACTGGAAGCTGATAAGAATGCATTCTGAAAGCAGTAGTGATTTTTTTTTTCCCTCTTGGAATTGATGTATGCCTTTTTTTAAAAAAAATTGTACTACTATTCTGTCATATTTCATTGAATATAGTTTTTGATTCACGTGCTATTGCTTTGTTCGATATTTTTTTGTAAATGGAAGCTTTTTTTGCCCTTATTTAAATGTATAGATACAGGAATTGTCTCAATTGAATACTATTGCTCTTTTTTACTTGTTCATACCACATGGCAAGTAAATCATTCCTACTAGATCTAACTAAACACATAAATACAAATGGTTTTATTTTGATTATAATTTATGACCGATAAAGTTGGAGAAATTTTTATGATGGGGTCCGCAACAAGACAAGAATACAAGTTATCCATCTTACAAATGTTATCTTATATTGCAATTCTTTATACTGGTAATTGAGGTTCAAATTGAAGCTATCTGTGAGTTGAACTTGTAAAGTTCAATGACATGAAGTTGATAATGAGAGTAACTTTAAAAGTTTGACTTGCTGTATTATAAATGAAATTGTATATTGTTTCACACAGATTTTTGGATAAAAAATTGACATTTTACTCCAATTCATTTTTATGTCATCTTTAAAACTTTGACATAAATTCTTGTCATGTTGAGTTTTGAAGATAAATTTTTGATTGACATAGAAAGTTTAAACCATTTTAAGCTAGTTTTTTTATGAATAAAATTGCTTTTGTCAAAATTTTCAGTATAAGATTTAGTCACATACACCTCTCTTTTTACACAGAAAACTTGAATTAGTTACATACTTTCTCATAAGAACCTAGAAACTAGTTTCTTAGGCACTTACTTGGCATTGGAAGTAAGTTAAAATCTCTTGACAGAAGTCAAAAATTAAGCCATTATTTTGTTTGTAAAGTAATCTTTTATTTTTTATATATCATATTAAATTAGTTTGCTCTGTAAACTAATCAAAATTTTTTAATTTTCAAAAATTTGCATTATTGATGGCTATTTTATGCAGTGGATACAAGCTTGAACTAGAAGAAAATCAAAAATTAAATTCAAAATTTGGAGACTGTGAATTATCTTGCCTATAAAACAACAGAACATTTACTTCTTCGATTTGTTTCATTTGCTTATAAAAAATAAAAACGGTTCAAATAATAACAAAATTTCCGAACAAGCTTAGTGAGGAAAAACAAAGATTTACATAAGATGTTTTTATTGTCTTGCCAACTTTTTTCTTAGAAAATAAATAAATTAGCTAACATTGACATTGCACAGTTAACCAAAGAGAGATAGACATAGTTCTCAATTGGGTAAACACCATAAAAGGTTCTCGTAAATGTTATAAAAGATCAGGGATTTTCTAGAAGTAAACTGTGTATTTGTTAAGATAATAGTTACAATTGACTTAAACTGGATTCCTTTCAATTCCAATTAATTTGTTACGGACAAAAGCCGATATTCCGGAACTGAACTTGGGCAGAATACCATTGCGGAACTGCTCATAAATGTGAAAAATTATCTAATCTGTTTTGTTAATGTTATTTGTAACACTTTGAATTAATCATGTGCACAAGTTTTCAGTAAATAATTCAGTTTTTAATTATATAACTTGCACTGTTAGTTCTTGAATCCATTATTTTGATTACAATTTGTGAGCATTCACAGTTCCTTAATTTGAAAAGAATTTATAGACATATCAGCAGATTTGAAAACTTTATATCAGTGATTATTAATTTTAAAAATTAAAAAAAAAAATTTTAAATATAAGAACAGTTGTTTAGCTTGAATTGCTGTTTCACTCCTTTATAATGTTAGTTTACTAGCAGTAGTGACCTCTAACTATTTAATGGTGTTAAATACAATCAGTAACTATCAAATTCCCTTGAGTCCGTTTAAGTTTAACTCAAAAATTTTATTGACAGACAGGAACTGATTGATCGTGAAAGCACACATTTATCTTAAAATATATGTGAAATTTTGGGTATTTTAAATTAAAATGACTCAAAAAAGCTTTTATTCATACAAAAATACATTTTGCACTATTATAAAAGGTTTTGGCCATTTTTGTGATGAGAGAAGTTAAAAATTTTCAGGATTTTTGGTGCAGTAAACATTAGAAAACAGTTTGAAAGGCAAATATTTCTCGAGTATGCTTGGTTTTAGAGTTAAAAGCTTAACTATTTGATAAATATATATTTTAAAATCAATTAATGTAGCTTTAAATTGCATTTGTTCACACTAACACTTATTCTGTTAGTCCACATAAAGTTATTTGTGAATGTTAAAAAAATAGAAATTTCCACATTTAAGTTGAGAACATCTTAATATAAACTGTACTTTATCCAAACAAAGTTTTCCTCATCTTCAGACACTTAAAAATTACTTGAAACTTTCATAAAATCAGAATGAAACTAAACTTTTTAATTGCAACTTTTAAATAAGGAAAATTACTTTTTTGCTTCATCTTTTTTTGAAAGAATTAAGAAAAAAAAGGCTCACTCCAAAGTTTAACAAGTGTAATTAAAAATTATCTTAATAATAGTGGAAAATGAGCATCTTGTTAAATTTAATTAAGAAAGTTTCTGATGTTTAAATGAAAGTTTATTAATTTGCTATGCTGTAAATGAAATTGCATACTGTTTTAGGCAGATTTTGGATAGAAAATTGACTTCTTACCTTCTTTGACGTAAACTTGAAAAGTTTGACTTAAAACTTTTGTGATGTGGAGTTTTAAAGTATTCAAGGAAGCGACTAAATTAAACTTTATGCGTCAATCAAAAATTAAAGCACTTTAAACTAGATTTCTATGAATAAAATTGCTTTGGTTACAGATTTTATTGTAAAAGTAAAATTTTGTCATATACACCACTTTTTTTTCATTGGAAACTTGAATTAGTTGCATACTTTCCTTACAAACTAGAAACTTTGCCTTCTTAGGCACTTGGCATTGAAAATAAACTAATTTTGACTGAAATAAAAAGGTTTTAAGCTGTTGTTTTAATGATTTTTCTGGCCTCTTATCGTGTTATTATATGCAAAAAACTGATATTTCATTACTACTTGAACTCATTTGCATGTCAGCGCGTGGTAGTGCTGCGACGAGGCGACGCGATGTTTCGTGTAACGCGCTTCCTTAATTTATATAATACTTCTAGTCCAACTAGATTTATTAAACTTGAAAATGATTCTTATAATTGTTAGAAACAAAATAACACTAGGAACATTTTCTTTTATAGATAACTGCTAGTGAAAATATGAATGTTTGAGTGTCGGCGCGCGTCGACGCATCGCATCGTGCCACACAACATTTAAATTACCAGTAAAATCCCCAATAGATCGCATTGTTATCCGAACGATCGCGCGTCGCGTTGGTTCTCTTCTCCATCTTACAGCCAAAACAAAATTCTATTAAATCTTTTTAACAAACGAATTATTTAAATACATTTCATAACTAATTTGATCGTAATTTTACGCTTTAGCGAAGCGAAATGATATATTTTATAAATACAATTTCGCGTCGCGTCGCATCCACCGCGCGCGCCATAGAAAAAAAAAATTCCAAAATCTAAAAAAGTACAAAAATTTGGAGTAAAAAACAAACGTATAAATGAAATTTTGCGTTTTATAAGTTAATAAAACTGTAAATTGTGGAGAAAAAATGATATTTAACGTTCCAAAATATCAATGAAAATTTATTTTATAAGAAAAATTAAAGAAAAAAATGCAATTTTCCGGCAGAAAAATTGTATTTTTTTTATTTCTTAAATTTATAAAAATTTTAATTGAATTTTTTCCTTTTATTTTTCAGGCTCAAAGGCAGGAGGTTGCCATTTGCTCTTACGAAGCAGCTCCCAATCCGGCCGATCACAAGACAACTTTATTCGAAAACGTTTCACGCGAAGTGCTTTAAACGTTTTTTTTTAAAAAAATAATAATAACGTTTTTTGTAATTTATTTTCTTCTACTTTCAACGTTTGTCGCTGTATAAAGCCGAAAGAAGGCAAAAACTGCGAGATGTAAATCTATAAATGAATTTCTGAATTAAAAAAATTATTAATTTTTCTCAATTGTGCTCTCTTTCTGCTTTGTTCTTAATACTCTGTTGAGATTAAAGTTTTGAAAAATTTCGCGGGGGGGTTTCAGATTGGTTACAGTTTTGTATGCCAGATGGCGCCACGGAGTAAACCCCATGCTGCGGATTCAACGTTTTTAGATGCAGCTAAAAACGTTATTTTTCGAAGTTTTCAAGCTCCAAAATTAATTTTTTTTTCAGAATTTCAGGAAAAAATACACTAAAACAGTAGACTTGTTCAACGTTTTCAGCGGAAAAAATGCAAAAAATTTGTCACTTTTTCCTCAAAAAATGTTAACGCGATGACGAGTTTTTTCTCTCGTCCTTTTATTTGAGATTAAAATTATAATAAACTCCCTTCGACCGATAGAAAATCAGTTTAATCATCTAAAAATACTGTAATTGGTCATGAAACGATTTTTAGGCGTAGAAATAATAGAAGAAGATAGTAGTTAGGCTGAAAAAAATGTCTTCGATGGTTAATTAAGGCTCTGAAGTATTCATCTTCGGTAAATCGAGGCTCTAAAAGTAAATTGCCGAAGAATTAAGGCTCTAGAAAATACCACAATTAAAGAACGAAGGCTCCAAAATATAAACTGATACCTTTTATAGTTTCGGGGAAATTTTAAGCGCTGTAAATCGCAAATTATAAACGTTTTCGGTATAAATTGCCTTTAAAATGTTTACAAAAAACTTGCAAAAACATTTTTAATCAAGCCATTGGATACAATCAAAAATCTAATAAAGGATTTCATATATAATTTATACAAAAGAATGCGTTATTATTATTGTTATTTGTTTTTTTGGAAGAATTCAAGCAAACAATAGATATATTAATATGTTTCTGCTTACGAGACACGTTTACAAAAGAAGAAAAAATAAAAAAGGGAAAGCCGAACGGTCGAATTAAAAGTGATTAAAATTAATAATAGATTATGTGTAATCGGAATTTAAATATTTGATATTAAAGGAAACATTTATGTTTTGTTTATCTGGAAAGAAAGTAAACTAAAGATGGTGAAGAGGCCTCGGGATGTACAATTGTTTCTGATAAATATCCCTTTCAATCGAATTAAATTCGTAATTAGCCATACAATAAAATATCAAAGTTAACGCTGCAGGTTACATTGTTTATAACAATAAAAATCACTACAAAAACACGTTGATAACAACAACAACAACAACAAGACGTTTTCTGCGCGAATTAACCGTGAAGTTTTCAATTAAAACTTTTTTACAATGTTTTAAATACTTAAAACTAAGAGAAAATAATGAAAAGAGTTTGAATGAATCTCTAGAGAAAGAGAATTTGATGAAGCAACGTTTACGACGTCGCAGCAACGTCAATAAAATATGAAATTTTTCAAAATGGCCGCGATGCGACTCGACGCGTAATGATCGTAAAATTTAACAAATATTGTTAAATCTCTGGCGAGTTGTATAATGTTACGATGGAATACGGCGCTTTAAATAATTAAAAATGATATTTTTAACCCGTTGGCTATTTATTTTTATATAAAAATGTCTTCCCGAAGATGCCGATACTCCGCCGTGTATTGCCGTATACCTGACATTATAAATGGCTTTGCACGGAATTATCGTGTTGTTATTCAAAATTATATCGATTGTTTACATAAATTAAGGGGTTGCAAATGCTAGAATATGATCAAATTCGTGTTAAATTGCGTTAACTTGGTCTTGCTATCGTAATTTTGATTAAGGCAGTCTCCGATGATCTAAATCGCGAGTCATTACATATATCGGCATCTTGATACAGGCCACGCGCATCCATTATGGCAATAACACATCCATTAGAAAATTATCTTAACTTTTCCCTCTCAGCTAGGCCATTTCATTTATTTAAAATCGTTTGTTTTCTATCCGTAGCAAAAAAGAACCGCGCTTACAAAAAACTAAGCCTTACCTCCATTCTTAAGCATTGATAAATTTTTACGTCTTCGGAAATCCATAAAGTAGATTTAGAGCGCCGCCTGCTTTTTTTTAATATTTGCGAAATTAATTTAAATAAAATTAAGGTGGCGCTTTAATTACAAACTATGAAAATCGGAGGGAGCACATTTAAAAATCTATTAAAGATAAATAAATTAATTTTTTAATTTTTTTTTACGATTGTTTCCATCCATCATTATTAATAGACCTACAACGTTGATATATTTACTGCATTTCCGACGATCGAAATTAGGTATAGTCGGTAGCCACTGCATTGTCCATAGAACGAGAGAATGGCCACCATTATAGAATACATCACAATATAATTACACGCTGTCGTCGGCCTCTTATCCTTCCGCCATTCTACTAGTCAAAAGGAGATGCCGATTCTGTAAACACAATAAACATCTTTAATGGTCGTATTTACAGATAGCAATCTTTAATGGCCGTTCATATTATATTTAAATATAACTCGTGCGTATTGTTTAACAACGATCGTGATGGCGGAGAACACGTTATACAATGTTAATTTGGCAGATAAAAGGTGTAACAGCAATCTAAATATCTGTCTACAACAAAAAATCTACAAGATATAAATTGTAATTCACTTTATTAATTAAAAACGGCGACGCCATTTTTGAGAAACGATACGTACATATTTTTTTTCTTTTTTAAATATGAAGTAGAAAAATGGGGAATTTTTTAAAATAGTTTTTAATATTTTAGTCAAATTAGGTTATTAAAACGAGTGGAGAGAGTGTAGTATCGTCAGAAATTACATAGAGAAACAGTAGCGAGGAGAAATCGCGATGAGAAAAGATGGAATCGATGCATATCGGCTAAAGTAAATCAAGCGGATTCACTTTCATTATTGCTCCACGATGCTGCTCTAGTATAAAGCAATCGTCATAATTTCTTCCACCATCAAGTAAACATCCTACCCTCCTTCATCTAACAGCTTCAAACCATTCATCCGAGAAAAGAAAATGAATGCAGCTTCATTTTTTTCCTTGCCTCCTCCTCCTCCTCCTCCTCCTTTGGCTTATAAACTTTCCCTTGCGTTCCGATAAAGCTGAACTGAAAAAACGAATTCAGTATTGCGACATTGTTTACCTAAGTCATGTCTTTAGTGCAATTTTCTTTTTAACTTCTTTCGGTGTCTCGCTTAATACATGAACGGGTTGGTTGGAACAGCTCGGGGCTAAGTTGTTCATCCATCACCACCTTTGTATTGTGTGGGGTTTTTTTTCTGTGTCTCTTATCTGCCAAAGTGGAATCATTTCCGATGGTAGAAGAAATGCGGATGGTGGAGGGGGGTTGACCCCTCGAGGCTTGCTTAGTCTTCCTAAATACAAAGGAATGACACGGGAGAAAAGTTAGAAAAGTCCATTAAACATGTGATGTAGTGGTTCTTTGTTAGCTCGCCTAATGACATCGACTTATCGCTTAGTCCGAGTAAGTTTTATCTTCTTGAATGATTGATAGCTGAGAATATAGCCGAACGTGTTTTTGTATTAACAGCAATATGTCTAACTTGTTACAGCTGAGGACACAATGTGACGTTGACTCGTCGTCTCCCTAGATGGATGGCTCCTTCCTCAACTCTTTGTCTCGCCCACGATGAGTGGAAATGCTTCTAATTGTTGAAGAATTAAGTAGTAATTTTTAATTACCATCGGTACCGAGAACTCTCGTTCCATTACTAAATACGGGGGAAAAAATGAATTTGCATAAAAATCGCATAAAATAACCGCCGTACAAACACGTGACTCGAAGACATTAGTCTGCCTTCACTATGATTTATATCAGGTTGGCTGGAATTTATAATCGTCTCGGGTCGGGATTTAAGTGCCATTTAAGATTAAATTATACGTGTCACGCAGAATGAATGTTCGGTTACGTATCAGTTTAATTATTACTTGAATACGAAATAAAAATATTTAAATCGATGAATTCTTCTAAGGCATTTATACTCTGTACGCGCTTAAAAGGCAACCGGAACCGTCCCTTTAAATGTAATTCAACAGAAAAAGCCAAAAAATGCTTAACAAATTCGCCGCCAAACACGTTATAAATTCGATTATTAACTTCTGAGTAGAGCGCCCCCCTTGTCAGTCACAAGAACTAACTGTAAATCAAGGAAACAAAATAACCGAACGCAGTTATTAAGATATAGGAAGGAGCAACAGATAAATTAACAACTTCCAACCCATAAATTACTTATATAAGTAAATAAGCCATATAAATTATCCGTTCCTCTTATCATATTTAGGACCTAACGTCATTGTTGCCCCCATTTTGAATTTGGCTGCGAGCAAAATAACTAAACGAAGTCAATGAGTAATAATATGGCCCGTAGCTCTTAATTTAATCAAAATAGGCTAAGCGAAACAATTTCGTTTCTTTCGGACCGACATACAGAAGAACTCGAAGCTATACAACGTCTTTAATTTAGGACGATGTACGTGATTTACCTCGAAGCATTTTCTAAGCCCATGGGCTAAAAAATATCATTTTCTAAGAGCTACCGCGTGCTTTTGTTTGTATAAATCTATCTTATATATATATTTATATATATTATATACAACGTGATTGCCGGTAGTGTACAATTTTGCCAATCCTTGTCCCATTTAGATAATGATCTAATTGGAGTTTAGGAAAAATTCCCAATTTTCTTCTTTAGATTTACAATCAAATTTCAATAATTTCGTCTTAATTTCGCTTTAAAACACCTGTACAATTTAAATGTCATTGTTTTAATGCTGAAATATAAATAATTAGATAATTACTTCATCAAATTTAATTTAAAAAATAACACTTTTAAACAAAGAATTTAAACATTAAAAGAACACGTGGCTTTAAAATAAAACGATTTAAATATTATTAAAAAAAGGGGGAATTTAAAGGTTAAAAATTCGTTAATTTAAAGGAAAAACGATTTTTAATTTAAAAAAAAATAATAATAATTAAAAAGAAATTTATTATTATTATTATTTCTTATATAAATAATTGGTAGTTGAACAATTCTCACCTGTTTACTTTATA